TCACCAGGCCTGGTGCTGGAGATGGGCCTCAGTTTGCCCCTATTGGGCCATTTCCCTCAGAAACCTCCACACATTGGCAACTTGCCTACCAGGCCCAGGGGCTAACTAATTCTATGCCTTGCAGCTGCACCCTCAAGTTCCCAAGCCAGGGCATCCGCTGACAATGGACTACGCTACACGGGATGACTGTCTGTTTACCTTCAGTGGCTCCTGCTTGCTGGTTGACCACGTCTCCTATCTGTTAATCTTAAATAGCAATATATGTAATTGATCTCTGCATTACATACGTAAAGAATGTAAAAAAATAAATTGCATTTTAGTTCCATTAATTACCAAGTCATTAGCAAGTCACCTAAAATTTCCATATCCACCCCACACATCCTAAAATAAAGGGTTCCTCTTTGCCATTTGGAAATGTTGTGAGGTATGTAACTTGTGGCAAAAATCTGACATTTGTGGGGTTGGGGAGTCTAGTTTCTTTACATTTTTAAAAACAACTAGCAAACCTGATAGCTTTATTTTTTACTTTTCTCAATCAGGTGAACAGAACAGCCACTCATTTTAAGTTTTATTTCATTTATTTTTATTGCTGGAAAGTAAATATGAATAAATGTTGTAAAATCCACAATGTTAATATGAAAACATAAATTTAAAATTCCTGCAGGGAGATAGGTGTTCTCTTTACTACAATATATAAAGGATTAACATATCTCTTCCTTAGGGGCCATTTTATCTTTTTAATGGCTTACTGCTAAAGGAGACTACCCAGCAGCCTACCCCCTATGTGCAGCTTGGGATAATTAGGGAATGATTAGTCTGAGCAGCAAGGGGCAGCCGTGATTGCTTTAAAGGACCACTCTAGGCACCCAGACCACTTCAGCTTAATGAAGTGGTCTGGGTGCCAGGTCCTTCTAGGGTTAACCCATTTTTTTATAAACATAGCAGTTTCAGAGAAACTATGTTTATGAATGGGTTAAGCCTTCCCCCTAATCCTCTAGTGGCTGTCTCATTGACAGCCACTAGAGGCGCTTGCGTGCTTCTCACTGTGATTTTCACAGTGAGAGCACGCAAGCGTCCATAGGAAAGTATTGTAAATGCTTTCCTATGCGACGGGCTGAATGCGCGCGCAGCTCTTGCCGCGCGTGCGCATTCAGCCCAGGAGGAGGAACGGAGGAGGAGAGAAGGAGGAGAGCTCCCCGCCCAGCGCTGGAAAAAGGTAAGTTTTTAACCCTTTCCCCCTTCCAGAGCCGGGTGGGAGGGGGTCCCTGAGGGTGGGGGCACCCTCAGGGCACTATAGTGCCAGGAAAATGAGTGTGTTTTCCTGGCACTATAGTGGTCCTTTAAACTGATCATAGCTGTCTGTTGCTGATATAAATTAGTATGGGTGAAGTGTGTACTCTCTGCCTCTCAAATCTCCAGTGGGGGCTGCGGCAGTCATGAACCCCAAATCATTTTTAAACTGCTCAAAAATGGTTTAACGTGGAATGGAGGAACAGTGATGTTGAACTCTAGGCTCTATAATCGATTTCAATGTGAAGGAATGGTTATAATACCTGTAGAGTCCTACTAATGCAATGATATTACTACTGTTCAATTTTAAAGAGATCTTTCTCTTGTGTTTTGGGTAATCTGCAATCATGTTTGTAGTTGTATCATTTTGGAAAGCAATATGTGTCTGTTTCAAGCACTATTTCAAGTGACTCGTGTGTAGCTACTGCTGTTTTGTGGGCAGCATTCCTTACACAAATTTTTTTCAATATTTCTGCTAGCCGGGTCAAGAAAAATAAATCTTAAATTTCATGGGATAACTGAGCTACCATCTGACTGGATGATTTTTAAACCTACACTAAATGGTACAGATATACAAGAAATATTGTCATCTAATAAAACCAATAAACTAAATATTATAAGTGTTAACTAGAAACAAGAGGTTCTAGAGGATGTGCTCAAACGACCTTTAAGATCTAGAGCAGTGGTTCCCAAACTTTTTAGGTTCAAGGCGCCCTTAATATTTCAAAATTTTTAGGTTGTAAATCTGCATAGCTCTGTGGCATTTACTGGCGCTATAGTGTATTTATGTAGCTCCATCATATTCTGTAGCGCTTTACAATATTCTCAAAGCGGGAGATTTAACAATAAATGAGACCATTACAAAAATTTACAGAAACAATAGGTTGAAGAGGGCCCTGCTCAAACAAGCTTACAGTCTATAGGAGGTGGGGCATAAAACACAACGGGACAGGAGGTAGCAATCAAATAAGGTGGAGTAAAGCAGAGCTGGAGGAGAGAATAAAGTGCTGCACTTTAGCACTTTAGGAGAGAGCATGGGACAGTTACATGAGGTAGAGGTTACACTGGGAGGCCGTAATCTTTCCTAAAGAGATGCTTTTGAGACTAGGGGAGAGTCTGATGGTCATCGGCAGGCTATTCCATAGGAAAGGAGCCACCCGTGAGAAGTCCTGCAACCGTGAGTTGGCCGTACGCTGGCGAGCAGCGGACAGGAGAAGGTCATGGCAATCACGGTATGGGGACTCACCTGGCAGCCCTGGGAGTCCCCCTCCTTACTTGCGAGGACCTCACGATCACATGGACAGCATGCCAGCAGGGAGAGTGCATGTAATGACAGGTACTCCCCCTGCTGCCTGTAAAAAGTTAAAAAGTTATAGTATAAAATATTTACTTTATAATTACACAAGATCCAGTGCACTCACCTATCCACTAAACGGCAAATTCAATGTAATGGGGGTGTAGTTACATTATATGATCATACATCGCATAAGCCTGCCACAATGTCAATGTACCGTATATGTGTGTGTGTGTGTGTGTGTGTATATATATATATATATATATATATATATATATATATATATATATATATATATATATATATATATATATATAAAATTAAATATGTAAATACATTAAATAAAATTAAAAATTATATAAATATGTGTAAATTCATTCTAACTGTATTTTAAAATTAATATATAGATATCAAAATACATGTAGAACGAAATAATATATCTATATACATACGTACATATATATATGTGTATGTATTATAAGGATATCGTCAGTGAAAGTGAAATTTTTTGCATTTTTCCCACACAAAAGGCACTTACACAGACAATATAATTGTTGTGATAAGTTTTACTGTTTTGAAACACTAATATTTGTGTTCAGCGAAGTCTTCCGAGTAGAACAGTACAGGTTTTATGGTGTTTTCAAAAGTTAGTCAAATATAAGGCTTGCTTTTCATTTTTTTCACATTGAAATTTGCCGGGTTGGTTTTGTTGCCTTTGAGACCGTATGGTAGCCCAGGAATAAAATTTACCCCCATGATGGCATACCATTTGCAATAGTAGACAATCCAAGGTATTGCAAATGGGGTATGTCCAGTCTTTTTTTTAGTAGCCACTAACACTGGCCAAAATTGGCGTTCAAATTCGTTTTTTGCATTTTTCACACAAAAACATTAACACTAGTGTTTGTGACCAAGTGGCTACTAAAAAAGACTGGACATATACCCCATTTGCAATACCTTGGGTTGTCTACTTTTGCAAATGGTATGCCATCATGGGGGTAATTCTCATTTCTGGGCTACCATACGGTCTCAAAGGCAACGTAACCAATCTGGCGAATTTCAATGTGAAAAAATTGAAAAATGTAACATGCTATATTTGACCCTGTAACTTCCCAAAACTCCATAAAACCTGTACATAGGGGGTACGGTTTTACTCGTGAGACGTCACTGAATAAAAAATGTGTATTTTATTGCAGTAAAAGCAAACCGTATTATGACATTGACAGTTAAAATGTCACGTAGAACTAAATTTTATTTTTTTAAATACTAATTTTCTCCCATTTTTAAAATATTTTATTCATATTAAATTATGTTTCATACCTAAATATTTTATGTTAAATGAAAGCCCTGTTTCCCCTGAATAAAATGATATGTAATAAGTGTGGGTGCACATAATATGAAAGAAGCGAATTATGCCTGAACAGACATAGCACAAATTCAAGTTTTTGTTTTGTTCACAATGTGTACATTTGGCTCAGTCCTTAAGGGGTTAATATAGGGGTGTGTTTGTAATGTTTGATTGGGTGTGTTTGAATGTTCACTTTTAAATGCAGATGTACATTTGTGTTTGAGTTAAGGGATGTGTTTGTATATACTTTTGGAGTTTGAATGCAGGGGTGTATTTGTATGTAATATTTGTTTTAGAATGCAGAGGTGTGTTTGTATGTTGTGCTGGTGTATGACTGCGTGAATGTATGCACATACACTACCACACATGCATACTTACACAAATTCATATAGACACTGACACCTTAACACACGCATACACCAACATATACACACGCACCCTGACACACACAAACATTGATACATGCACATACAATGAAACAGATACACACTCTCACACAGACCATATCCTGACACACAGATGAGAGCATGCGCACATACACACACACACTCCTACTCATAAAAACAAGATATTTTTAATATCTCCAGCCACCCTCCTGTTGGCTTACCTTGTGTCTCCAGGAGGGTGGCTTGGAGTGCTGCTGGTGGGAGCAGGGCTGCCATCAGAAATTTTGGGGCCCCTGACACAGCTCAAGGTCTGGGCCCCCCGGTGCCTGCACCTGAGTCCACCCAAAGTGCTCTGTGTGCTCCTCTCATGCTGAGGCTGCCTCCTCTCCCTCACACATTGTCTCCCTGCATGATGCTGGGAGCAAATGACAGGCTGTCATCTCCTCTCAGCCGCCCGATCTTACAGGTGCCCGGTCGCGGTCTTAAAGGACCGTGGCAACCGACCAGGCCCCTGTTCAACAGTAATGTTTCCCCGGTGCTATAACCATAGCACTGAGGAAACATTCCGCAGCGCCCTTGCGCACACAGTTTGGGAACCACTGATCCAGAGGATTCTTTGCAAAATGTTATGTTTCTGTAGGACTTACAACAGTTATGAAATCGAAATATTGTGCTAAATGTCATGGTTTCTTACATAATGCTTACCAGTTATTTTTTTTTTATTTTTTTTTTAGGAGATGGAATAGACACATATGAAAAACAATTTTCAGAACTTCAGCAAAGGTTGTTTCGTGCAGAACAAGAAAATCAAAAGAGATCTCGAGATTTAAGCACTGTTCTTGATGAAATAAAGCAAGCAGTGGCAGAGAAAAGATATGCATTTGAGAATCACACAGGTAGTAGCGATTTGATATTTGTATTCCTTGTATATAGACGTATAAGCGTTTGATAGCTCAAATGTGTGCCGTATTGGAGATCATAAAGCACTAAAGGGTTACTACGATGTACTTGAGGGACAGCCAGAGTTTTTCTACATTAAGTACACCTGTGAACAAGAGCAATATGTATTGATGGCGTTTGGAAACTAATTATATTTAAAGGAGAATGCCAAGCACCATAACGATTACAGCATGCCATAGTACTTATGGTGCCAGGAATGCCCTGACCCCCTCTTGGGAGAAGAGGGGGATTAAACATACATGGGCTCCACCAGGTCATCTGCCCCTCTAAATTCACAAGCTTTGTCCACTGAGTCTAGTAGTGCAGGGCAGAGTGATTAGTTGATGCTCTGTCAGTGACCTGTTCCTGTACTGGGTGGCTTAGCTCGATGGAACTAATGGAAGAAAATGTTTTGTCCCTGGAGCATAGTGGTGGGATCTATTATTTGTGTATCTTTTGGATCTTGAAGAGCTTAAATATATAGACTCAGTGATAAGGGGTATAGCAATTAAGATTGGGTAGGAAATGTGTCCATTTTGTTGATTTGCTGTTGGATATATTCCTCTAAATGAAAATGTATCCTGAGCTTGACCACAACAATCCTGCCGTTAGGCATGTGGTCTCTATGTGCATAGGGGGCAATAATTTATTGTCACCAGTTTGGCCAGGCCACTCATGTCAAGGGCTTACAGAATGTGTCACGGTTATGTTACTTGTGCTAAAACCACGTCAAGGACTGTAATTTTCCTTGTAGACCTTCACTCCTTTACATTTTGTCATCTCTCATTTGCAGTTTAATAATTACACCTCTTCCTATTTGCACCTTATTGTCCACCTCTATATTTCCCCTATGATTTTCACTTTCATTTGTGGTTATCCGCTTCTCTTCCCTTTCTCGTTTTGTCGTATAACTTTTTTCATACCATTAGGTGTGGACATTTTATAATGAGTGTGTGTATACACAGTAAAGATGTGATAACCTCTGCAGCTACTAAACATCTGCCCCTTTATGCCTACTCCTTCCTTGCCACTGCCAGTGCTGGACTTTGACCAGTCAAACAATTCTTGTAGTGAAGCATTGATGATAAATCTCCCCTCCAAAGTTTCTAACAGAGATTGATGGTTTTATCTTGATTTTGGAACTATAGCTGCGATAGCTGCTGTGGGCTGCTCTAATCCAGTGCAGATTCACGCTCACAGGTGCTGGGAGGAAGTGATCTGTGATCACTTCTTTGAAGTGCTGCAATGTGTGTATTGAGAATTGCCTGTCACCACCTGCAATCACCGGTTAGGTTGTACTAGCAAATATCTGATGTCTCACTGGAAGTCCTGATGGCTCAGAGCCTGTTTGGCTCTATCAGCCTTGAGTACCGTGCAAAGACAGCTAGAGTGCCATAGGTTGCTGACCTCTGGTATTGCCAGTGTTTCAAGCACAAACTCTGTTCATACAAACTGCTTGCTCTGACAACTTCCAATAGCAGTAGTGATCATGGAGGCTGGTAACTCTTAAAGCATGATTTTATTTTTATTTTTTGTATGTGCACATTGAAATGGTGACTTGCGCAGTATAGTTATTGTAGACAAAAATTCTTATGTTCAGCCAACTACGGTATGGATAACTTGGTTACATAAAACTAAACCTAGAATTGAAAACTTAGTCATGTTCTGGCCATGTAATCATAGTTGCATATTCTGTGTAATATATGTGTAGCAAACTCGCCCCTTTAACGGAGTTTGCCATGTATTCTTGGAGGGGGATGCTGGCCCACCTCCTACCCAGTGATTATGGTCCCGAGAAGATGTGGCCCTTTAAGTACAATATTTGGGCATATTGGATTTGTATGGTGCTGCTAGCCCTTTAAGAACCATTTTGGGGCATGGCTAAAATTTGGGACAGAGCCCCTATAAATCTATGTCCCCAGACTTTGGAAATAACTTTTAAATGGCTTTTTCCCTTATGGTTCGGTAATTTGGGCTTACCGATCCATTCACTGCACAGGTGGACCACACAGAACTGGAAGTGTGCAGGCAATTTACCTCCCAGGCTGGGAGCCTGCTGTAGGTAAATTGCCGAACGCTGGGGGGCCGCCGTTCGCGCAAACGAACACGTGGTGGCGGCCATCTTTTTTTATTCAATGCGGTCAGCGGTGTGTGTAGCCAAATTCATGGAACTGAAATTGGCTACACAGTTCCGCGAACACGGCTGAGCCTTACCTTCTCCCACAATGATTTTGCAGCAGCAGAGACTGCTGCAAAATCATGGGACTTCGTAGTTTTTTCAGCCTGAAATAGACCGACCGCACAGCCCAAATCTATGGAACTGTTTTGGGCATGAAAAAATGTGCTTGCGGTCGGTCAAAAAGGGACCTCCAGCTAACTTTTTAACCCCTGGATGGAATTGGCTGAATTTTGGATATGTTTATAATTAAAGTGTGCTGAGTTTGTTTGTGGCATGTATATTTTTGAAGTTATGAATTTTGTAAAAACTGTATTTCTCTGCCTGTGATAATTATATTAACCGTTGTGTTCAGTAATCATATCACAGGCAGAGGGGAGGATTTTGTGTGGGAGTGTCTGTGTGTACTGTACGGATTGATTGGTTGTATTTCAAAACCCTGTGGACAGTACTATGTTTGTGGATTGTGAATAAAAGAGGCTGTATGTGCCAGTACAGACAGTTCTACTTCACCCTCAATTTGGAGTGCTGTCTCTTATTGGGGGAATCTGCTACAAGGGATTGCTATGCTTGTCATACTCCCTTGCTAAATCACTACTAAGCTCTTGTAAGAGCTGGTTCCTGCCTTACTCTCTGGAGGAGTCTACGGTGGTTATGGTGTCGGCTGGAGTGTTTGGAGCCCTCAGGAAGCGCTAGGAGCATCCATCAACGCAGGTACCCAGTCGGGGTGCCAGGTGATCCGTTACAATATGTGTATTTGTGAACCATCTGTCTTTATATAAAATAGTGTATGTGTATGTGTGTGTAAGTACTAGTAAATATTAGAGCACTTGAAATACTAGTTGTTTGAACTTCACCACATGTTGTGTATTCCTGAGAACTTGAACAGGATACAAATCAAACTTTAATTTTCATTTCTTTTGTTTATTCCTCGGGGCATACTTGTTTCTCCCCTTGTCATGGCTAGAAGAGCAAACACTGCTTTGAGAAACTAAGTACATACTGTTGTAAGCATGAGGTTAATGCTAGACTAATAATAAACTATGATACGATTGACATACTAATCAGTTTTGTACGTGACCGATTATATATAACAGTAGAAATATCTGCCCTTTGAAAATTGTTCCTCAACGTTTTATGGTTTGAAGTAGAACACTGGTAATAAAAAAAGATCACACGCAATAAATTCTGGGTCCTGACCTGTTATTTGACAATTGGAGTTTCTCAATGTCTGACAGCTGTTCAGTTCACCAATCTGTGAGTAAATGTAAATAACAAGTTTTCCCTGCACAACAATGCATTGCCATTTACATTGTAGCCAGTGGTTTTGTACCAGTATACTGTACGTGTCCACAAACCATATTTAAAAAAAATTCTAAATTAAATATATTAAAATGAAAAAAAATCTACATAGTTTTACAGCAATTGTTCTCAAAGATGCATATTCAATTTTCATACAGAGTCAACAATGAGAATGGCAATTTTTCAGGATGGGTCCAAGCTTGTGCAGATTTATTTCATGTGTATGTTTGTCTTGTTGTCAGTCATACAAAGTGCTTTTTGATATTTAATTGTCTGCCTTATCAGTCTTGTGAAAGATCACTGCATTGCTTTAAGAAAAACATGCATTATTTATCACGTCGTCTTAGATCATTCCTGCTTTTTTGAGTGGTTGTGTTTTTGTTTTGTTTTTCCCCATGTTTGTTTTGTAGATTTGCAAAAAGGCCAAAGGACTTTATATCATTACCTTCTTTCTCTCAGAGGAAATATAAATTCCTCACCAGCTCTACACAGTTGTTCACCAATTCTATTCTATAGTGTGACTTTTTTTTTTTTTTTTAAATAAATGTATAACAAACATTACTGAGAGATGGGGGAAAAAAAAATAAAAATAAAAAAATAAAAAATAAATAAATATATATATATATATATATAACTCTCTAGCAATTGGTATAAATTATTTACTCAAATTGTTAAATTGATTACCTTTTTTTTTTTTCCTCTTGCAGTTGAAGAGATAAAATGGAAAGTATTGAACATGTCCAGCAAGTTACCAATGCAGTTTTCCAATATCTACATGTTCCTTCCTCACCTACTGGGGCACGAAGATAATCTGCAGCCGAATGTCCTTTACGGACATGGAAGAACAGGGGGTGAGGATATAAGGTTCCATATGCTGATCAAAAACATGCTTGAAGTTTGTACATTTTGGCAACAGTCCAGATCCACAGCTACCACAATGCACCTTATGACAGACAGTATTATGGAAATTGCCTTTTATAACATCTGGGAAACAACCTTTTAAGCCCCTCATACTAAAATATATACATTAATTTGGGGGGGGGGCAGCATTTTTATATATTTTCGAGTTAATAACAAACTGACTTGTAGAGCCACAACAGCACGTCCACGTAACATATGACATATGCAATACAAGACATCCTGGTGTTACAATTCGCTCAATTTAATAATACCGGCTGATAGGTTATAGCGAGGTGTGATGGCTAGATTTAGGGGGAGTATGGGCCATTCGTCTAGGGGAGTATATCAGCACTCCACCTGATAAACCGTAAAGATGCCTGAGTTGCGGTGGTTAAGTGTTTTCTATGAGTGTAGTCTAGTCTGAGTAGCGATCTGTAAGTGTGTCACTGTTGGGTTTTATGTAGTGATCAGGTCACTGGAGGTTATTGGTGTTGGCTTCAGTTTACAGTGTGCTGTTTTCTAGCGAATGTTGCTTCAATTAAGCTGGAATAGGTCCGATGGTGAAGTGTAGTCGTTTTGTGAGATTCTAGGTGTATATGTTAGTTCATGTAGGAGTTTGGGTGCATTATATAGACTATCTAGGCCGGTAGGGTGCCAGCATGAGGGGGGGATTTCTCTATTTGATTGCGTGGTGCAATTTAGGGAGGTTGGGCTCCTATGCAGGTTGTACTATTACCCCAGGATGATGAGGGGTGGGAGGAGGAGATTTTATATCTTCGGAGCATAGAGGCATGTTGGTAGGGTGTGCCGTCTTGTGTGTGGTGAGCCTGTGAAGTGTGTGTGTGTGTTTTGCAACGTAACGGGTAAGGTGGTCATAGTTAACCACAATGGAGGAATACAATATGTGAGCATGTCATTGTGGTCCTATTGAGAGCCTTATGTAGCCGGTTGGAGTTGGCTCAGGTCTTCGCTCCCCTCTTCTCTCTGGGTGCAAAGTTCGCCGCAGTGCATGCGGTTTGGGGTTGGGGGCTACGTTGTTGCGTTAAGTTCTCGGTATGCTGGAGTCCCAGCATCGCCAGCAGAGCTGGGCCATCCTTGGAGTCAGTGGCCTTGAAATGTTGTCCAACTTTTGTTACCCAGAGCGTCCCTAGTGTCGCCCATTTGTAAGAGATTCCTGCTGCGTGGAGTGTTTTTGGTTAAGGATTGCATAGTTTTGCCCTGCTTAAGTCCCGAAAAAAGGAAAGTTTGCATGTTTCAAAGTCATAGGGTGCATTTTCTTGTAATGCAGCTAGCAGTCCCAACTTTAGAGATTCTGTATACCCCGTTGAATCCAAAGGTTTTGGCCTGTCTCTTTATAATATTTCAACAAATAAAAAGGGTTTGTGTAAATAATATCTGTATGTACAACATTTTAGTATTTTTTTTTTCTTTTGCAACCATAGAGGTGTTACTGAACATTTTGTTACTGATATTAAATCTAATATTTGTGTGTGTATGATAGGCAGTAGACGTGTGCAATTCGTTTCGGTCCGAATGTGAATTCGGACAAATTTTGGGCAATTCAGACATTCGGGTACCTCCGAGTGTCCGAATAGATGACTTGCCGAATGGTTGAAGTCCTGAAATTCCTAAAGTTCCCGAAGTTTCCGAAGCACAGTATTGCCTAAGAACTAATAAACTTACCCAGTGAAAGAATGAAGAATGTTACTGTATACAATTTTAAATAAAAAGTATGCAAACATAGCCAGGATTCAGCTGTAAGCATTTGCAACACTTACAACAATCAAGTAACATACATTCATATAAAATATAAGTTACTTAGCCAGTGAGTGTAATGGCAGGAATGAATAAGTAGATAACTCCCTAATTCCCACAGTATTAGGGAGCGATCTACTAAAAGGCTGAAAGACTTAAATTGGTCTTTCAGCCAAATTTACTAATACTAAGTAAAGATTACTTAGTATTAGTAAATTATGCCCCTACTCGCTATACTGCGAGTATGGGCATGTTTATTAAACAGTGAGCAGCCTAAATAAAAAAAAGTCTCCCCCACCCATGCTGCGCAAGTGGGGACCTCTAACCTGAAGGGGGGGACATATTGCACCCCGGCCCTACAGTAAAAATAGGGGGGGGGACATAATGTCCTCCCCCCTGGCCCCCACCCTTGAGTGACGAGTGGGGGCCCTAAATACCAATTGGTGGGACGGGGGACCTATTGTCCTCCCCCCCCACCCCTGAGTGGCGGGTGGGGACCCTAAATAAAAATGTTACCCCCCCAGGTGACTAGGGGTCCCCAAACCTCTAGTTGCCCCCTCATCCCCCCAAAAAAATTAACCAACTACCTCCCTCCCTCACCCTTAAAATTATGACGGGGAGACCTTTAACTAAGTACCTGTAAAATAAATAAATAAAACTTACCATTCAATGTTTTCTTTCTTCTAAAATCTTTTTTCAGCCCCAATAAAGGCCAAATAAAAAATCCATAATAACAGACGCAATTTTAATAAAAAAAAAGAAAAAAAATTATCCATCTTCACCCGGCGAGGGCTCCACGCAGACTGAGCTCTGCAGGGCGGAGGAAGGCATGCCCCGCCCTGCAATTAGGCTCAGAGCACGATTGGTGGGTTTAAGCCACTTATAAGTATTTAGGGCCCCCACCCGCCGCTCTGGGGTGGGGGCTAAGGGGGAGGACATTAGATCCCTCCCCCCCTTATTAGTATTTAGGGCCCCCACCTACCGCTCAGGGGTGGGGGCCAGGGGGGAGGACATTAGGTCCCCCCCTTATTTTACTGTAGGGCCAGGGGGGTGGGGGCCAGGGGGGAGGACATTAGGTCCCCCCCCTTATTTTACTGTAGGGCCACCACCCGCTGTTTTAGTTTAAAAGCCCACATTTGCAAGGGGGAACCCTATTTTTTTTTTTTTTTTAACAGTGAGCAGCCACAGGCTGCTCACTGTTTACTAGAGATATCCCTACTTGCGGTATAGCGAGTAGGGGCAAAATTTACAAATACCAAGTAATTTTTACTTAGTATTAGTAAATTTGGTTGAAAGACCAGTTTAGGTCTTTCAGCCTTTTGGTAGATAACTCCCTAATACTGTGGGGAATTAGGGGGTTAACTACGATGCAGCTGCAAGAGAAGCGTCGAAGTGCTGAATTGCGGATGTCCCGAATTTCGGAAAGACCGAACCGAAAATTTTCCCCATGCTCATGCCTAATAGGCAGCACATGGGTGTACAGGCATGGGCAAGTAATGTTCTGGCTACACCAGCATGTGAAATAGTGTAAACTTGCATCTGTAAGTAGTGGTAACAGAATTGCTAGAAAATGTTTAGATTTGTTTAAAAATAGTAACTCTCCTCACTCATCTGTCAATTCTTGGCATATAGGTGTTTAGGCTTCTATCATAAGGTGAATGCAGAGCATTCCTGGATTGGTCACTGGGCAAACAATGCAAATGTGTACCACACTTGTCATGTGCCAAACACTGACTTAGCCTTTTAAAATGTCTTGGGTTGAAGGCCGAAGGGGATCTCCCCGACTGATCTTAATCAGCCCGCTGTTGCTTGCCGTTTCCCACCCATTGTGCTCAACATGTGGCAATAAGGGAGAGCAGGGAATTTAAAGGGACACTATAGTCAACAGGACAACTACAGCTTATTGCTTTTGTTCTGGTGAGTATAATCATCTCCTTCAGGCTTTTTGCTGTTTTAAGAGAAAATGCAGTGTTTACATTACAGCCCAGTGATAACACCACTGGCCACTCAGATGGCTGCTAGAGCTGCTTCCTATCTCAGTCTTGCCTAGTGTGCATCACAACGTTTAGTGTCTCCGCCCTCTGCATGCAGACACTGAACTTTCCTCATAGAGATTCATTGATTCAATTCATCTCTGTGAGGAGATGCTGATTGGCCAGGGCTGTGTTTGATTTGTGCTGGCTCTGCCCCTGATCTGCTTCCTTCACAATCTTAGCCAATCCTATGGGGAGGCATTGTGATTGGCTCAGAATAACACTTCTGATGTCAGCAGACGGGGGCAGAGCCAGCAGCTTCAGGCTTGAATACAAGTAAGGAGGGAGGCAAGAGAGGACCTGGGGGGCTAGATGGTGGTTTTAACCCTATAGTGCTCATTTAAATGTATTTTAGAGGGGCCAAGCTGGTTTGGCCAGCCTGACCCAGAAAGTATCGTAGATGCTCTTTCTGTTGCTGACCAGATTTTATTCCAAGAATTGACTGGCTGGAGAGAGTAGAAGAGTTCCTACAGGCAGTAATCTTGTATCTTTTGCAGCAAGCATGTCAAACTCGTGGCCCATGGGCCGCATGCAGCCCACAATGAATATTTTTGTGGCCCAGCGAGCCACGAGTTTGCCATGCTTGCCATGCATGCCATGCTTGCGAAAGCAGAGTAGGCACCTGCTCTCCCCACATTGCAGTTGCCTAAAATTACCCGGCCGGGATGGAGATAAACCTGGCGGCAGCGAGGGAGCTGTGTCTTCCTGCTCCCTTGCGCGCGTCCTCTGTATCATTCTGGCACCCGGCATCCCTAAACTGCGCGCGTGAGGAGCAGGAAGACTGAGTTTCCAAGAGGGAAAGATCAGGGAGAGGCCCTACACCAGCTCCCCAAGGTAGGGAGCAATAAATAAAATTGTGTGTTGATCAGTGTTGGGATGTCTGCGGCCTGGACAGAGGAGGACCTGGAGGTGCACGGAGGCACGAAACTCCACGTCCAGGGCCAGATTAAGAGCCCAGTGTGCCTGGTGCTGACAATTATGATAGGGCCTAATTACAGAATCTTATCGACCAAAAACACTAGAACAGTCATACCTCTAAAGCGTCATGTATCTGATGGAGTTGGTGTTGGAGGGAAACTCAAAGGATGCAGCTATAAGAATACACATACTCTATGCTAATCTCTCTCTAATTTATGCTTTCATCTTTCAAGTAAATCCATACCCCCTAACAGTAGTGTCCAGTGAAGCCGGAAGTCAATGGGCGGGGTAAAAGGGTGGACCACTGATGCGAATCACGTGACCAGAACTGCAAAAGGGGCAAACATGCCCAAAAAGGGGGCATGTTTGTCAAAAGAATTGGAAGGCCAGCATGGCATCAGTGTCCCTATGTATCACAGTGTCAGTGTCCCCATGTTGCCCAGTCCCCTAGTCTCGCAGTGTCTGTCCCCATTTCTCCCAGTGTCCCCATGTCTGTGTCCTGTGTCACTAGGATACTAGGGGACACAGAGACTTGGGGACACTGGGAGACATGGGGGCACTTGTGGATACAGACATGGGGACACTGGTAGACATGTGGATACAGACATGGGGACACAGACATTTGGGGACACTTGGAGACATGGGGTCATAGACACTAGGGAGACATGGGGACACAGACATTTGGGGAAACTGACACTAGGGTCACTGAGAGACATGGGAACACAGGCAATGGGAGACTAGGGGACACAGACACACGGGGCACTTGTAGACATAGACATGGGGACACTAGGGACACAGACACTGGGAGACATGGGGACACTGACACACTAGGGACACTGGGAGACATGGGGACACTGGGAGACATGGGGACACAGACGTTTGTGGACACTGGATGGGAGACATGGGGACACTAGGAGACATGGAGACACTGTGTCCCAATGTGTCTCAGCGTTCCCCATGTCTCAGTGTCTCAATGTGTCCCCAAGTGTCTTAGTGTCCCCATGTCTCCCTGCTGCCTTTCCCTCCATCTCTCACATACCTGAGCTGTAGGCTGTCTCTGCAGGCTGGGAGCTGCTGTCTGGACTCTCTGTGCTGTAACTTCCTATCCCTGCCTCTCTCCATACACAGTGACCCCTACTGGCCGGTGCTGGTAATGCAGAGTAATCTCCGTTTATACTGAGAAAAATATTTGCATTTGTATTGCCGGTATTACTGCAATGACGTCACAGCCAGGCAGCCTCAAATAGCAGCTTTGCCTTAAAATACCAGTCAGATGGCAAACCTAGGAGTAGTGTGGGTAAAAAAATATATATATATATATATATATATATATATAAAACAAAAGTAGTAATGCACTCCACCTTCCTTGATGTACTTGCCCGGTGCTTATCAGCAAACAGATACAGCCAAAAGTACAAGATAGCACTCCAGGGACTTCCAAGTTGAATGAATAAAACTTAGCTTTTATTAGCTCAAAATAAAAATCAGCGTTTCAGTCTGTAAGACTTTCATCAGAGATCTGATGAAAGTCTGTGATACAGACTAACTTGAAATTTTAGTTGACTAATAAAACTATTCATTTAAAATACTATTTGTACCTATATATATATATATATATATATATATATATATATATATACACTTTTTTTTTTTTTTTTTTTTAATGGGCCTATTCCATCGGCTTGGTTTACGTGAAGTCTTAGGGCACCTAATAACCTCCTAAATTTGGTTGTGTGAATTACATTATGTAGATTTGTTTAATCCAACAACAATAATCTACAATTCTTCATTATTCTAAAGAAACCTTAATTGCAGAATGAAGGATTGCAGTATCAATCTCAGATATTCAGGTCTAATCCAAAAAACAGACATTCTGCTAATTTAATTTGTAAATTTTACAGGCAATGGCTTATATTGTATACATTGTCATTAAGAGGATTCATTCAACTGTCAGCTTGTTAAAAGCTGTTTTGAGAATCAAAAACTGGATTGTATTTGGTTGTTCTAGATGTGCTACTGTACAAGATATGGTCAACCCAGATTCTTTGGCACCGTATATTCTTTCATTTGAAAAATGTGTACCTTCCCCTCTTCGTTTGACTTTTTACAAAAAGGCCAAGCTAAAGGGGATCATAGATTTGGCATTTGTCATGGTGCTGTGCTAAACCTCAACTGCCTGCGTTTGACAGACCAGAGGAAAGACAACTGTAATAAAAAGGTATATTCTAATAATTAGCACATTAGTTGCGCAGATCATAGAAAATTCTGATTTCTGCATTAAAGGGGACACTAAAAAAAACAAAACGATCACCCTGGCGATGACTTGAATTGCTTCCCTGCACACTTCTAAATCAATATATACAAAAGGAGAAGCTTAAAAAGTAAACCTATTTTACAGACATTCTTGCCTCCTGCCCTATTAATTACCTGCTAGAGTTTGCACTGGTTTGCTGTGTGTAATTAAAATTTTGTTTACAGAGCAGTAGATAATGTGTTTTAAAATGGGTTTGAAAATTTAATTAAAAATTGTATTTATATATTTGTCATGGTGTGACCTACGGCCATATTAACAAAGATATTTAACTCCTAAGTGGCAGAGAATTGAGCAGTGCGACAAGAGGCATGATCTGTATACCAAAACCACTTTATTAAGCTAATGTTGTTTTGGTGTTTAGAGAATGCCTTTAATGGACATGTTTCCTGTAGCTGAGACCAACACAGGGCCATACTGGCCCACCAGGATACCGTGAAATTTCATGGTGGCCCGGGGGAACTGGGGCTGCACAGTACAGCAGCCCTTCCTCGACCCACCCAGTACACACACTTACATTCGGGGCCTTAAGAGTTAAGGTCCCTTCTTACCTCTGGAAGGCACTTTACTTTATCCACTCGCGAGCATCAAGTGCTGGAAAACTAAGTTTTAATGCTACTCCCGAGTGAGACAATATGAGCAGAGAGCTAGCAGGAGCCTGGAATAAATGCAGGGAGGATGGCAGTCCTGGTTCCTGCCTGACAGCCTTCACACACAGGAAGCATGTGACCTAGCAATCAGGCACAGCAGGGCAGCCCACACGGGTCTTCTGAAGTTTCGCTTCCTGTGTGTACAATGCGGTCAGGCAGGTTGCTGGGAAGGAGCAAGGTGTGCTCAGTTGGCAGTAGCACCCAGGTATTTCATGTTCATTTTACTGTTTCTTGAGTGTGTTTGGTGTGTATTTTTTAATTGTGTTTGTGTGTCGGTATGGATTGCGCTGTGTGTGTTTGTGTGTCGGTATGGATTGCGGTGTGTGTGTTTGTGTGTCGGTATGGATTGCGCTGTGTGTGTTTGTGTGTCGGTATGGATTGCGCTGTGTGTGTTTGTGTGTCGGTATGGATTGCGCTGTGTGTGTTTGTGTGTCGGTATGGATTGCGCTGTGTCTGTGTGTGTCGGTATGGATTGCGCTGTGTCTGTGTGTGTCAGTATGGATTGCGCTGTCTGTGTGTCGGTATTGATTGCGCTGTGTCGGTATGGATTGCGCTGTCTGTGTGTGTGTCGGTATGGATTGCGCTGTGTCTGTGTGTGTGTGTGTGGGGTATGGATTGCTGTGTCTGTGTGGGGTATGGATTGCTGTGTCTGTGTGTGTGTCGGTATGGATTGTGTCTGTGTGTGTGTGTGTGTCGGTATGGATTGCGTGTGTCTGTGTGTGTGTGTGTGTGTGGTGTGGTGTCTGTGTGTGTGTGTCGGTATGGATTGCGCTGTGTGTGTGTGGGGTATGGTGTCTGTGTGTGTGTGTCGGTATGGATTGCGCTGTGTGTGTGTGTGTGTCGGTATGGATTGCGCTCTGTGTGTGTGTGTGTCGGTATGGATCGCACAGTGTGCAGGGATGTATTTACCACAAGGCAAACAAGGCATTTACCTAGGGCGGCACTTTCGGGGGGGCGCCAAAAATGCCATCCCAAGCTTTCCTTGTGTTCTGGGGCTGTCCACCTTACTGTGAGTGTAGCTGTCAGTGTGTGTCTGTGAGTGAGTGAAAGTGTGTGTGTCTTGCAGTGAGAATGGGTGTGCCTGTGAGTGTGTGTCAGTGTGTGTGTCATTTTATGTGTATCTGAGAGAGTGTGCCTGAGTGGGTGTGTCATTGTGTGTCTGTCAGTGAAGTGTGTGTTGGTTAAACAGTGTGTGTACTTATGACTGTATGTGTGTGCCAATGACTGTGTATCTGTCAGTGAGTGTATATCAGTGCATGTATCAATGAGGGAATGTGTCTCTCAGTCAAAAAAGTGGCCTTTACTCGAATTGGGGGGTCAAATTTAGATTTTGGGGGTCCCCGAATTTAGTCGTGCCTAGGGCAGCACAAATCCAAAATACACCACTGGCTGTGTGTGCGCTGTGTGTGTCGGTATGGATTGCGCTGTGTGTGTCGGTATGGATTGCGCTGTGTGTGTCGGTATGGATCGTGCTGTGTCCATCCGGCGGTATGGATCGCACTGTGTCCATCTGGCAGTATGGACAAACGTAATCTTATAAATGTTTAAAATATATATATTTTTTATTCTGAAGAAGGTCCCTGTGTGGACCGAAACGTCGATTTTTGTTACTAGATGAAATAACTTTTGCATTAGAAGACAGTGAGTGCAGCCCATTCTTTCACTATTTAGGTGAATATAAACATCCCCATAGGACTGGCACCCGGCAAGTAAATGTATTAAATGTATTATTTTTCTATATATGAACATAGCGCGTGAGTGCAAGGAACCCATTAATTTATTTATATATATATATATATATATATATATATATATATATATATATATTTATAAATATGTGTGTGTGTATTATATACATTTGGAAATTATGCACATGTATATAAAATGTAACAAGGGTTTCACATTTGTCAAAGGGTTATTGACAAATTCATTTATGTTAGGAAATGAAAATTTAAATTGTATAGTTTAGACCAAAATAGCCAATAGTAAAAATCCAAGTTCACTACAGTTTGACCATTGTATCATAATTTTTGGAATTTTGATTTTAATCCACAAAAAATATTAGTTTAGTGGATAATCCTGCCATTCTCCTAGTCTTTCAGTGAGTGCACTCATTTGAGGACTAAACAAAATAACATTTATTTAAATCAGACAAGCAGCAGCATCTAGTCAATGTTTTACTCCCATTACTGGACTATTCAAGGTTATGGGGATGAAACATTGATGTAAGATGTTGCATATCTGATTAGAATAACACCTTTGCGACGCATGACACAAATTTTCGTCCTGCTTGTCCTACTGTTAAGGACACATGACGACAAATGTCCGTCATTTACTAAAGTTAACCCCTGATTGCAGGTCTGCCTCGGTATCGTGCCGTCCCTGCAGCTGTGATTGCTCAGACAGCCTGCCAGAGCCATTTTTCTGCTAGCTTGTACCATGTTAGTGGTAATAAGCCTTTTTTTCCTTCCTTTTTGACACATAAGTGCTACGGCTGTATAATAATTTATATGTTGCTCAGCTATGTCGTCTGAGCACAACAATACCCCCGTATGTACTAGACATGCAATTTGTTTTGTTACGAATGCAAATTCTGACAAATTTCAGAAATTCTGACATTCTGATGCTTCCAAATGTCAGAAGTGCCGAATTTCGGAAGTGCTTTGGATTTCTGAAAAGTGGCAAAATAAGAGAGATTTGGGGTTGGGATAGGCTTAGTGGTTGAGGTAGGGTAGACTTAGTGGTTATGGTTGGGGTAACCCTACCTCTAACCCGAACCCTTCCCCTGCTTGAAGTCCTGAATTTCAGAATGCCAAACCGAATATTTTTCCCATGCACATCCCTAGTATGCAAGGTATATGTGGGCATTGAAGGGGCACATTTGAGACACACAGCCTTTCCAGTTTTTTTTCAAAGTTGGAATTTCTGCACAGTGTTATCAAATTAAAGCCCTTCTTTCCCTCTAAAAATTGGTATATAAAACATGTGTTTGTGCAATAAATGAGAGCTGCAAATTGCAAAAAATGCAAAATGGCTTGTGTCCTTAAGGGTAAGACAAACTTTTGAAGCGGTGTCATTAACCCCTTAAGTACCGCGGGCGCTCTATGCCGTCCTTAACTTTCTAGCCGTCCTTAACTTCCTAGCCGTTCTTGCCACCCATTTGGCCAGCACCATTACCCCGCTGAAGATTGCGGTCTGGGGGCATGCCTGGCCCCCCAGGCAGCCCTCCTGTGCTCGGAGACCGCGGTCTGCAGCTTCCAATCGCAGTGACAGGCTGTGATTTGAAATTGGCTGACACATGGAGCCAGCTGCATTCTCCTGCAGCAGATCGCCCCCCCCATGCAGCCCCCTTGCTGTCAGTGACAGCGATCTGCACAGGCTGCAGTCTGATCGCACTGACAGGTTGCCATAGCCTTTCAGTGTGATCAGTGTTACTATGTGTCAGCCTATTGGCTGACACATGTAACTGCAGCCATTAGCCCCCCACAGATTGCGGTGGGAGTCATGCCTGTACCACCCACGCACTCCGCCTGTGGCAAATTACCGCGATCTGTAGGAGGTGATCACAGTGACAGCCAGTCACTGTGATCACTGTTAGTATGTGTCAGCCAATGATCTCAAATCGTTGATTGCAGCTCCTGTGAAAGAAAGTTTTAATACTTTATAAAAGTTTTAAAAAAATAATTTTATTTAACCCTTTCAGTGTGATCACAGCATATTACTGTCATCAGCCTGATTAGGGCATTTAGTACTTTTGTACTATATTTAATTTTTAATTTTTTTTGACCTTTTGTGTCAGTCGCAGTAACCAAAATCTCCCTTAACCCTTTCCCCGCTGCCTTGATCACTATACTGTACAGTATATCTGCTGTACAGTACCGTATCAGTGATCACTGTGATCAGAGGGCTCTCTGATCAGACTGACCTTTTTTTAGGGTTATTTTTATAGATCTAAAAATAACCCTTTCAGTGTACTGATTGCAGCTGCCTATACTGTGATCAGTACAGTTATATTATTTTTTGAGGGCGGGTAGTAGGTGTTAGGCAGGTAGATTATAATTAATTACCCCTTTAGTTAATTTGTCCCCCTAGAATGGCACGTCGCTACTCAGCCGAGGAGGTGTATGCCATTCTGGCAGGCAGTGATAGTGACACTCTGCAAGACAGTGACACGGTCACTGCCTCTGACATTGAGCCTTTGAGTGAGACCTCAAGTGATGGTGCCCCACCACCACTCACAAGAGGACGCTCAGCAAGCAAAATGCCAGACGGAGACTGGGTGCCTCCAAACATGATGGCCCCAGAAATAGCACCAGTAACAGTGGACGACTGCGAGCCAATTCGTTTTTTTTTAGCTATTTATGTCAGACGATGTATTTGAGCTCATGGCTCAGCAAACAAATTTGTTTGCCATGCAGTATCTCTCTGCACATCCAGGGTCCCATTATAGTCGCATGAATATGTGGAGACCCATGGATGTCAGAGATGAAGCGGTTTTGGGCTTTAACCCTAATGATGGGTGTAACGGACCGTTTTGCACACGAGAGGTTAAAAACCGTTTAGGCGATATTCCCCTTTTCAGATGTACAGGCCGCTACTGCAATCACCAATCTCCCGAATTGCAAACACATGAATTCACCAATCTCCCGAATTGCAAACACATGAATTCACCAATATCCCGAACTGTAACCAGGGGAATGCTCAAAACTACTGAACAGGAAACACCCGAATGCTGTAAACAGCCGAACAGGAAAAACCATACGAACAGCTTACACTCCTGGCAATCGCACTGTAACAGCATACAATCCAATTCCCCCCCAAGAACAAGACGACACTTCGTTTGAGGATCAAGCAGAACTGATTTACTGGGGCTACCTGCCCGGCTTTTATGCAGGTCTCCCACCTGGTGGACACTCCCCTAGGGGACCAGATGGAAGACTGGGAAACATATTGGCCATTAACCAATCACAGACCTACACCTTTAAACACACCCACAATGCATCACAGTCCCTCCTCTCTATCCTGGAGATAATTGGGAATTAATCCAATTATCTCCCAGGACAGAGGCAAAACTCCATTGAGCACGTTACTAAAAAGACTCAAAAATACCCACTGTTGCAAATAATTAACAAAACACATACATTCTACATATCCTCAGATAGCTTAGATCTGAGCGCACATTATTACCGAATGGCGCTCAGATCACATATATACAGTTCAATTGCCATGGAGCCAAAGTCTTTCATACAGTCTTTTGTTACACGAATGGGCTCCATGGCTTAGCTATCTGGGGTGATGCTGTTCATCCGGTTAAACTACCGAATGAAGAGTAATTCAGTTCCACTACCGAATGCAGAGGTAAGGAGGCTGGCGGCTCAGTGGTGTTCGCGCAAATAAGTGTCCGTTTTCAGTTCCACAGTTTGGGCGCCGAACACCGCTGGCCGTTAAGAGAGTAAAAATGGCCGCTGCCACGTGTTCGGCAAACGAACAAAGGCCACCCAGCATTCGTCAATTAAGCTGCGGTTAACCGCAGCTTCTGGGCGGTCAATTGACGGCACACTCCAGTTCCCAGGTGGTCCATCGTTCGGTACTTTGTTCGGTAGATTGAATCTACCGAACACCCCGGCAGAAAGGCACGAATAAGCCTTTCAGCAGGGAAAATAAAAGGATTTAATTGCCGGGCCATAATCTAAAGGGAGCAGGCGAGCAACCAGGCTTCTCCAGTGCACAGTGGCGAGATTGGTTCCGCCACAATGGGTATAGTTAAAAAGCCCAGTATCAGGTCCTACTGGAGCAAGCAACGCATCCTGGCTACCCCTCTTTTCCCTGAGGTTATGCAGAGGGATCGCTACCTGCAACTGCTGTGATTCCTTCATTTTAATGACAACTCACTGTGTCCCCCTAGAATCGACCCACTGTTTGGCCATTTATCCAACTCCTGTCAGACAAATTTTCTGAAAATTATGTCCCCGATAAAGATATTTCAATTGACGAGTCCCTTATGAAATTTAAAGGTCGACTGCTATTTAAGCAATATATTCCATCTAAGCGGTCCCAAAATGGCGTTCTATTTTATAAATTATGCGAATCCTGTACTGGTTACACATGGGCGTTTCGCATTTACCAGGTGAAGGATAGCCATCTTGACCCACCAGGATACCCTGATTCTGTGGGTACAAGTGGCAAGATTGTTTGGGATCTAATCCTTCCCTTGTTAAATAAGGGATATAGGCTATGGGTTGACCATTATTATACCAGTATACAATTATTTAAAAATGTATATTGCTTTGAAACCCTAGCCTGTGGCACAGTAAGGTTTCCCCCAAGCCCTGACAAAAGGCAGAAGCAGTAGAGGTTCCTCTTCAGCTCTCCGCCAGGATGAGTTGCTTGCTCTTCGCTTCAGAGATAGGAAAGATGTATACATGCTGTCTACGATGCACGACGAAAGTACAGTGTCTGTGAGAGGTCGCACTGCGCATCTTGAAAAGACTACAGCAAGTTTATTGGGGGAGTAGACTTGGCTGACCAATGCATACAGCCCTATCTGGTGAACCGAAAAACTAGGACCTGGTGCAAGAAAATTGCAATCTACGTGAGCCAGATTGCAATTTTCAATGCCTATGTCCTCTATAAAAAAGAGGTCATAGGTAAGCCCTGCCCTTTCCTCGAATTCACCCTGAGCCTTTTGTCTCGTATGTTGTAATGGATCACCTGGCACCCCGACTGGGTACCTCCGTTTAAGGATGCTCCTAGAGCTTACAGAGGGCTCCAAGCGCTCCGCAGACACCACAACCACTGCAGATCCCACAAACCGCCACAGCTTGGTTGGGGTCTCGCCGTCTCCTACCCACCCTGGACCTACGACAAGGCTCCAGGTTCCAGTGGGTGAACCTCTCCTCCAAGAGAGGGAAACAGGAACAAACTCTTACAAGAGCTTAGAAGTGATTATCCAAGGGAACATGCAGAGCATAGCAATCCCTTGTAGTGATATAGCAATTCCCCAAATAAGAGACAGGACTCTAGATTGAGGGTGAAGAAGAAGTAGAGTAGAACGTACAGGTCAGCGATGTTCGTGCAGTTGGGTAGCCGAAAACTGTTCCATAGATTTGGCTGCACACATCGCTGACCGCGTTCGAATGGGTTAAAATGGCCGCTGCCACGTGTTTGGTATTCGAATGGCGGCCACTTCGACTGCATCCAAAGTGCCAGTTTAAAAGTACAAATCCTTTGTTTGGGCATTAAAGGGCCAGAAACAGCAATATAAGCCTCCAGTATGCCCACATCAGTTCCTAGAAGGGCAATACATCCCAGAGCCATAGTCGCAGGGCAGGAGGCTGGCAAACAGGCCTCTCCAAAAACCAGTGGCGAGGTTACTTTCGCCACATATGTTATTTACCCAGCCCCCCAACCCCAGTTTGGAATCAAGAGATCTCCAAAGACTTTGTGGCAAACACTTCCCTTCCCGAATCCCACCCACCCCCAGTAAAAAAAACTCCCCAAAGAAAGTGCCGTGTTTGCTACAAGAAAGGAGTCTGAAAGGACTCCAGTTTTTATTGCCCAACCTGCCCATCTCTACCCACCCAAAGTCTACCATACAGAGCTGAACTTCTGAATCACTCTGTATGGGACTTTGGCAGTTTGTTTGCTTGATTTCTTTGGATTTCTGAACTCTGCTTGTCCTGACTACGCTTTGTTTAGCTGCCTGTACCGACCCATTGGCTTGTTTTACTGACTACTCTGACTTCTGGATTCCCCTGACCTTGGCCTGGCCCTGTTTACGCTAGCCATTCTAAAGTGGCTACACCAAACAACTCAAAATACTACATTTGTAGTAATTGAAATATGACTTCCCAATAAAAAAACTAATCACAGGGTTAATGCTGCTATTAGCACTGAAAGGGTTAAAAAAAAGTTTTTTTTTTTTTTTTTTTTAACTTCTCAAACTTTTCACACAGTAACTCTGTGACATCAAATATCTCTCTGCTTCTTTCTTCCTTCAGATCAAAGTGTATGTGGGGATACTGTTCTATTCCTGTGATGTAATAATAACCTGGAAACATGGTACATGTGGGTACTGTTATATTCATTAGACAGTGTTAAATCAAAATACCATGTCTCTATTGCACTAACTAATATCAAGATTATGACCTTTCCAGTGAAAATGCAATTTATCTAAATAAAAAGACAAAAATAAAAGTAGAAATCGCTACATGGGCCCAGCATTTCTGTTAAAATGGCTAGACCAAACATCTCAAGTTATGCCATTTGGAATACTCTGGGTTGCCTACTTTTGAAAATGGTATGCCATAACGGTGGAAATGTTATTACCCAGGCTGCCATGGTCTCTGAAAAGCCATATACGCCCTGAAAATCATTTTAAGAAACTTACAAGCTGAAAGGGCATCTAATATTTTTGTCCCCGTGACTTCCCCCAAAAAACTGAAAATCTGGTACATGGGGGTACTGTTATATTCAGGAGACAATGTTAAATAAAAATAGTGAGGCTTTCTTGCAATAACTCGTATCAGGAATATGAAATGTCCTGTGAAAAGTAAGTACATGTTTGTGAAAAGCACAAAAAAACCTATAACCACTCTGGGCCCTTCATTTCTGAAAAAGTGGTTAGATTAAACCTCTCAAATTATGCCATTTGTTATACTCTGGGTTGCCTACTTTGCCAAATTTCAATGTGAAAAAGCATAAATGGATAAGCCCTATATATGACCCTGTAACTTGCCAAAACCCCATAAAACCTATACATGGGGGTACCGTGGCGCTTGTGAGACATCACTGAACAGAAATTGGAGTGTTTCAGGGCAGTAAACTATATATTAACAATAATATCAGTGAAAGTACAGTTTTTATGTGAAAAATGCAACAACAAAAAAAAAATCTGAACGCTAACTTTGGCTAGGGTTTGTGCCCAAGTGGCTACTACAAAAGACTGGGAATACGACATTTTTAATACCCTTTTTCACATAGTATGCCATGATGGGGGTTAATTTTAATTTCTGGGCTACCATACGGACTCAAAGGCAACCTAGGCCCAGCAAACCAATCTGTCAAATTTTTATGTAGAAAAAAAAATGGACAAGCTGTATATTTGACCCTTTAACTTTCCAAAACCCCATAAAACCTATACATGGGGGGTACTGATTCACTCGTGAGACATTACTGAATACAAATATGTATGTTTTATTGCAGGAAAACCGAACAGTATTCTGACATTAACAGTTAAATTGCCATGCAGAAATTGAAAAAAATAACATTTCTTAATTTAAGTTTTTTTAGATTTTATTCATATAAAATGGAGTTCCATATATGAATGTGTGATATGAAGCCCTGTTTCCCCTGAACAAAATGATATATAAGAAATATGGGTGCACTTAGTATGAAAGAGGTAAATTATTGTTAAACAGACATATAGTCAAATTCTATGGTTTGTTAACATTTTGTTTTGATCACAACTTGTACATTTGGCTCAGTCCTTAAGGGGTTAAGGGAATAAAGCAGCACTTTTGTTTATTTTTAATTTCAGTGAGTGTGCTCCTTCTTGCTGGGTAAATAATTATGAATATTTTGGGTTTCCACCTGTATAGCTGGCACAGTTAATGTTAGGGCGTGTTTAAAACCTTTCCAGGGCTGATTTTTATTGCCTGTCTGGCCCTGGGCCCACACAGTGTTTTGTGTGAACACACCATACTGAAGTGGAACACAGAGGGGCCCACAACTTTTTTAACCCCTTAACGATGAGTGACGGACGAGGTCCGTCACTCAGGGGATTGCCATAACGACAAGTGACGGACCTTGTCCGTCACCCGTTAAAATTAACCCCGGATCGCCGCTATAGCTGCGATCTCTGGGTTAATCGTGCTCCGGTCTGCCTCTGTAATAGAGGCAGACCGGGAGCACCCAATAGTGCTGCCCCAGCACATGTGCTCGCTCTGACAACCTGTCAGAGCAAGCACATGTGCTGCATATACTCACCTTCCGCCTCCCTGCGCTTCCTGGTTCTGTGTGAAGTGCAGGGAGACTTTGTGAAGTGTGGTTCTGTGTGAAGTGCAGTGATGATCCTGCCCCCTGTTTAAAAAAAAAAAAAATTATATAAAAACCCACCCCCCTTTACCCATGTTAATTAGAAAATTAACCCCTTCCCTGCCAATTGATCACTGACTACAGTGATCAGTTGGCAGGGATTACATTTTACTGTCATCTGAGGGTTAATTTTTTTTATTTATTTTTTTTACCCTCAAGGGTTAAATTTACTTAATTAACTGAAATATTTTAAAATTATATATTTAGCTAGCTGGGGTGGGTGGAAGTTAGTGGGGAATTGGGGGATTTGGTGTTAGGCTAACTAGGGGTTAACGTTAAAAGTTTTTAAATAAACTTTAAAAAGTAAAAAATTAAGCTAAAAAAGTTTTAATAACGTTTAAGTAAAAAATAAAAAAAACACCCCCCTTTACCTAGTCCAAATAAAAATTAACCCCTTCCCTGCCAGTCGATCACTGCCTACAGTGATCAAAATACAGATCACAATATTATACTGTGATCTAATTTTTTTTAACCCCTGAGGATTAACTTTTATTTTATTTTATTTCTTTTAACCCTCAGGGGTTAAATTTAATTAATTTAAATATTTTATAATTATATATTTTGCTAGCTGTGGTAGGTGGGAGTTATGGGGAAAATGGGGAATTTACTGTTAGTGCTGCTTACTGCTAGTTAGGGGTTAACGGTAAAAAAAAAAGCTTAGAAAAATGTTAAATCTGTAAAAAAAAAAAAGTTTAGGAAAGTTTTAAAAAAAAATTAATAAGCAAAACAAAAGTTTAAAAACTAGTTTTCAAAAGTAATAAAAGTTTCAAAACGTAAAAAAAAATACATTTAAAAACGCACATTACCACTACACCTGGAACAAACTAGAGAAAAAATGATCCCACGCTAAGGTTCAAAATATGCCTTTTGAATTACCCCAGGGTGTATTCTTTAATAAATAGTATGTGTTTATGGGGAAGTTTCAATAACCAACCGTCTAAACTACTCAAAAAAAAAAAAAAAGTTAGAAAAAAACTGAATGGCTGCGTCTCAAATGCGTCCCTTCAATATCCACATATATCTGGCAAAGGTACATACGGTGGTATTGCTGTACTCAGACGTCATAGCTGAGCAACATATTAAGTATTATACAGTCGTAGCACACATAAGGTTTGCAAAATATACTGTGCAAACTCATTGTGTGTCAAAAAGGCAGAAAAAAACACTTATTACCACTACACTTGGTACAAGCTAGCGGAAAAATGATCCCACACTAAGGTTCAAAATATACCTTTTGAAATACCCTGAGATGTCTTCTTTAAGAAATGGTATGGCTTTATAGGGTTTTTGGATTATATAGCCTGGTAAAATACTCTATAATGGGACATGGGCACAGCATAAAAATTTAAAGTTTAAAAAAAACTGGAATGGCTGTGTCCCAAATGTGCCCCTCCGATGTCTACATATACCTGGCATAGGTACTCAGCCGACATAGCTGAGCAACATATGAAGTATTATACACTGGTAGCACACATAAGGTTTGCAAAATATACTGTGCAAACTCACTTTGTGTGTCAAAAAGGCAGAAAAAAAACACTTATTACCATTACACTTGGTACAAGCTAGCGGAAAAATGATCCCACACTAAGGTTCAAAATATACCCTTTGAAATACCCTGGGGTGTCTAATTTAAGAAATGGTAGGCCTTTCTGGGGTAGTTTGAATTTAAACCCTGCCAAGATGCTTGGAAATTGCACATAGGCCCAGCGTCAAAATTCAAAGTTCGGTAAAAACTGATATGGCTTGGTCTCCTATATGGCACTGTAGCTTCACGAAATAGTGCCAAAGACATTCATTGGGGGTGTCTTTTTACTCAGAAGACTTACCGAGCATAATTTTGGGGGATTGAATTTAGTGGCACATGTGAAATATACAAAATGCCCAGCAAAAATGCAATCCATATGTAAAAAACGCACAAAGTTGATTTTTTTTATCACATACTTTAGCATATATTGGTGAAAAAATGGGGGCATTTTAAGGCACAATATGCACCTTATGAGATACCCTGGAGTGTCTACTTTTACAAATGGTAGGCCTTTTTGCGGTTTTTGAAACAGTCAAACTGCTATGATGGCCCAAATGGAAGCATATGCTCATTAAATCCGTCTCTCAAAATTCTACTGTGAATACTGAAAAGAACAGGCCTCCTATACGGCACTGTAACTTCATGAAATAGTGTCAAAGACATACAATGGGGGTGTCATTTTACTCAGCAGATGTAACTGAACACAAAATAAAACTTTGTACAGGAATAGCACACACCAACTTTACAAAATACACGATAATTTCTTTGTTATAAGTTTGTGTGCCAAAACCCAAAAAACCCCACAATTTTACTCCAATATTTAGCAGAGGTTGGCGGTGAACTGCCTACTTAGAAAGTGTCAAAACAACCTTAGGTAAATAGCCCGTGATGTCTACTTTATATAAATATATACTTTTGTGTGGCAATTTTGTTTTCTTTTATGGCTATTAAGCTTACAAGACAAACATACCAAATTCTAAAATCGCTCCACATTAAAAGTTTATTTTACTCCTTGTGCTCTGTGACCTGTAACTACCAAAATAAAACTTAAAATCCCAGACACATTATATATTCTGTAAATCAGAACAACTAAATGAATTTATTTTTAATTACTTTCCTTAACCTGCACACATTATTATTATTGCAAAAACTGTAAAAAAAAAACCAAACCCAAATGTAAATTCTTTTGCATTTTTCTGTATTTTTTTTTTATAATTAAGGAGATATATATATATATATAAAAAAAATATATATATATATAAAAAAATACACACACAAGTATAGTGGCACTCACCCTTTCAATGAATCAATAAAAGACTGCTTTGGTGCAATCCCACGCTGGATATGTAAAGCAAAAAGGAAAGAGATGCACTCTCAGGTCTTTGTAGAAAAAAAACTCGATATTATTTAATAACAGGTAACATATATCTGATCGACGTTTCGACCTCTTCAGGTCTTCCTCAAGATCTTGAGGAAGACCTGAAGAGGTCGAAGAAACGTCGATCAGATATATGTTACCTGTTATTAAATAATATCGAGGTTTTTTTTTTTTCTACAAAGACCTGAGAGTTCATCTCTTTCCTTTTTATATATATATATATATATATATATATATATATATATATATATATATATATATATATATATATATATATATATATATATATATATATATATTTTACATCAAATTAAAGCCCTTTCTGTCCTTTAAAAAACGATATATAATATGTGTTGGTGCAATAAATTTGTAAAATGCAAATTGCAGTTGAACGCAAACGGCAAAAAATGAAAAAAATGCTGTTGTCATTAAGTGAAAGACAAGCTTCTGAAGCTCTGTCCTTAGGGGGTTAAGGATGTAATCTAAATGGGGAGTGGAGTAGGAAAAATATGTTGCAAAGATGGTTAAATTTGCTTTATCTTCCTAGAGGATTACGATAGGTCAGGGCCGTCTTTAACGTGGGGCAAACGGGGCAGCTGCCCCGGGCCCAGTTTATCTTGGGGGGCCCGAGGCACCTGCCCCGTGGGCCCCGCTGACCCCGGCGGGCGGGTGGCCGATCGGGCAGGCGGGCGCGCGAGGGAGCACTCACTGCTTCCTCTTCAGCTCCCTCGCGCACCGCTCTGATGCCGGAGCCGGAAGATGACATCATCTTCCGGCGCCGGCATCCCTACGCGGCGCGCGAGGGAGCTGAAGAGGAAGCAGTGAGTGCTCCCTCGCGCGCCCGCCTTCCTGCCCGACAGGCAACCCGCCCAGGAGCCCAGCAGCACCACTGGACCCCAGGGAATAATCCCCCCCAGCACTCCAAAAGGTAAGGAGGCTGGGGGGATTACATTTTTAAAAAAAAATGTGTGTGTGTGTGTGTGTGTTAGTGTTTGTGTGTTAGTGTATGTGTGTGTTAGTGTATGTGTGTGTTTGTGTGTGTTAGTGTATGTGTGTGTTTGTGTGTGTTTGTGTGTGTTAGTGTGTGTTAGTGTGTTTGTGTGTTAGTGTATGTGTGTGTTAGTGTATGTATGTGTGTGTTTATGTGTGTTTATGTGTGTTTATGTGTGTTTATGTGTGTTTATGTGTGTTTATGTGTGTTTATGTGTGTTTATGTGTGTTTATGTGTGTTTATGTGTGTGTTAGTGTGTGTTTATGTGTGTGTTAGTGTGTGTTTATGTGTGTTATTGTGTGTTTGTGTGTTAGTGTATGTGTGTTAGTGTATGTGTGTGTGTGTCAGCATGTCTGTGTGTGTGTCAGTATGTCTGTGTGTGTGTGTGTCAGTATGTCTGTCTGTCTGTGTGTCAGTATATATGTGTGTCTGTGTGTCAGTATATATGTGTGTCTGTGTGTCAGTATATATGTGTGTCAGTATGTCTGTCTGTCTGTGTGTCAGTATATATGTGTGTGTATATCTGTGTGTGTCAGTATGTGTATGTGTCCGTATGTCTGTCAGTGCGTCAGTATGTCTGTTAGTGCATGTGTATGCATGTGTCAGTATATCTGTCTGTGTGCCAGTATGTCTGTGTGCCAGTATATCAGTCTGTGTGTGTCAGTGTATGTGCCTGTGTGTGTGTGTCAGTATTTCTCAGTGTATGTGGGTGTCAGTATATCTGTCAGTGTGTGGGTGTCAGTATTTCTGTCAGTGTATGTGTGTCAGTATGTTGATCAGTGTATGTGCCTGTGTGTGTATGTCAGTATTTCTCAGTGTATGTGGGTGTCAGTATATCTGTCAGTGTGTGGGTGTCAGTATTTCTGTCAGTGTATGTGTGTCAGTATATTGATCAGTGTATGTGTCTGTGTGTGTGTGTCAGTATGTCGGTATATGTGTCTGTGTGTCAGTATGTCTGTATATGTGCCTGTGTCAGTATGTCTGTCAGTACGTCTACCAGTGTATGTGTCTGTGTGTGTGTCAATATATGTACCTGTGTCAGTGTGTCTGTCAGTGTATGTGCCTGTTTATCTGTATGTAGTCAGTGTATGTATCTGTGTATCTGCTTGTGCGTCAGAGTGTGTACCTGTGCATCTGAGCCGCAACTTTAAATACAAATACACCCCTCCATTCAAACTTCAACACTACATATAAAACACACTCCTGCATTGAAACGTCAACACTACATACAAGCACACTCCTACATTCAAAAACAAACACTACACATAAATGCACACTTGCATTCAAACTCCAGTACCACATACAAACACATTCACACAAACATACTCCATACAAACACATGCTTACATTCAAACATACTAACATGGCTCAGTGCTAAATACAACCCTGCAAGCATGGAAAATTGGTAGAGTCCCAGCTGTCAAAGCATTGTTGGAGTTGCACGACAGATGGGGTTCTACCTTTAGTCCAACCTTGCAATTGGGGTCCCAATAAAATTCATTCTACTTTAGTACCGCCACTGCGTTGGGATGGATGCCGTGATTGCATACCAGGGAGTGAGGGGCGAGAGCGGCAGGGCACAGGGGGCCCAAGCAAACACTTGCCCAGGGTCCATTCGTTATTAAAGACGGCCCTGCGATAGGTTGTTCTAGATCAGGGGTTCCCAATTAATTTTTCCAGTGGAACCCTTTGACATAGTGTATGAACATCGCCCATACAAACACAGATACACACCTGCACATACACACAGATATACACACTGGCACATCGATATATGCACATACACACAAATACACCTTGACACAGAGTGTGTGTGTATGTATGTATGTATCTATCTATCTGTGTTTGTATGTGCCAGTGTATGTATCTGACACACACGCACACTTATATACACGCACTGACACACAGATACACATACTGAGCAATATACACACCTGTGCACACATGTGCACACACTGGCACAATGATGCATACACACACACACACAAACTAGCACATACACATACTGACACACACACACACACACACACACTCTCTAGCACATACACATACTGACACACACACACTCTAGCACATACTGACACACACACACTCTAGCACATACACATACTGACACACACTAGAAGTAGATCCATTTAGTGCAAAGAATAAGGTCCAGACTGCACCTTCAATATATTTTAATAGTAGCTATCTTTATAGCTGCTATAAACAGTCCTGCCTAGGCTTTGCGTGTGTTTTTCTTTCTTTCTTTTTTTTTTTTTCATTCTTGTTCACATAGATTTTACAGATAAATGAATATAAAGGTATGCATAGATAAGTCGTTACAAAGTGTACACAGGTTTATCTGTTTGCCTGTGCAACGCTTTCAGGATTGTCCTTGTCCATTCTCAAGAATGTTTTATCTTAGCTGCACTCACCTGAACATGCTTAAATGGGGTGCTGCTAGGGGCCAATAAGTACAGTAAAAATGAACCAGACTGAGAGACCATTTAAAGGCTCCGAAACCCTTTCCAGGTGTTATGGCTTACTAAGCTGATTAGAATAGGACACTGTGAGCCTAGAATATTGCACCTTTTCACAATATTCTAATTTACTGAGATTGTGGATTTGGGGTTTTCATGAGCTGTAAGCCCTAATCATCGCACTTATGACAAATCATGGCTTGAACTACCGTATATACTTGAGTATAAGCAGAGTTTTTCGGCACATTGTTTGTGCTGAAAATCCCCACTCGGCTTATACTAGAGTCAGTGTCTGTATTATGGCAACATGATACAGACCAGGACTGCCAGGCTCATTTCAAGCCCGGCGGTCCTCTTAGAGGCTGGCCGCGAGCCCTTACCTTTGAAGCAACACCTGTCAGCTCCGTGCAGCTCCTCTGTCAGCTCCCAGTGTAAGTCTCGCTACACCCGCGGCTGTCAGAGCGTTGCCACGGATTACCGGGGCAACGCTCTGCGCTGCACGCATACCGTGAAACTTGCTCCGCCCCCCCCGCACACACTGCATTATATACACATACACACACACACTCATATACACACGCTCTTGCATTATATACACACACACGCTCTTGCATTATATACACACACACACGCTCTTGCATTATATACATACACACGCTCTCATGCATTATTTTTTTTAAAATTTTGACGTAATTGGGACTTGGCACCTGGTATTAAATATATATGTGTGTGTGTAGATAGTAATCAGCACTCTTGGACTTTGAAGATTAAAACATAAAGTTTATTAATTATCCATTAAATATAAGATCGATGTTTCAGTCCCAGCCCGATCCTGATGAAAGTCCCTGCTGGGACTGAAACGTCGATCTTATTTTTAATGGATAATTAATAAACTTTGTTCAAAGTACGAGAGTGCTGATCACTGTCTACATATATTTCTATTTTCCTCGATTTCAAGCACCCGACAAACAGTCTACCAAGCGGGAGTGCAAAATATATATATATATATATATATATATATATATATATATATATATATATATATATAATTTTTTTTATTTATTTTTTTTCAAAATATTAAAAAAATGGGCCTCTTACACTCCTACTCAAAATATTAAATACCTGGTGCCAAATCACAATAGTATAAAAATATCAAAAGATTACCGGCACTCTTTTGTTCGTTCAATTTATTGTTGGTACATCCAAAATAGTCAACGTTTCAGCTCCCGATCGGGGCTTTCATCAGGACACACAAAGCAATTTACATTGAAGTAACAAACAAATATAGGACATATCTACCAATAAACACTCACCAAAACAGCTGTACTTCATCGCCCCCAATGCCCGGCGTGCACTCAGCGCTTCTGCGCATGTCTACATTGGACCACTCCCCCGTCATAGAACGGCTATGGCCAGTCATCATACCTGGAAGTGTCACAGAACCATGGCAACCGCTGATACTCAGCTTCCGTCGCTGCTGCGTAAACAACATCCGTAAGGAGAATATCTCCCTGCTAAATGAGCGATCCGCCCAGTCCATGACGTGGGGTTAGTACATGTTACTATGACAACTGTTTCCTTCCGTGCCTAAGGGGATATGAATGAGAACATCTAAATAGAAAGCTGATATTGTTACAAATAGATTAGTATTAATTGTATCTACACAGTATCATATGCAAAAACTATCTAGGCTGGTATATCTGTGAACCTAAAAAAAATAAAAAAACATAATTATAAAGATACAAGCATATCTATGTGTGACAAAAGTGATATATTCAATAAATTATATTCTTGTGTATATGATTGTGACAAAAATTATGTAAATTCAATGTGGTCTATATGGAGTGCTGTAAATACATAATATACTATGTTTGACATTTATTTGAGAATGTGATATTGATTAATCATAATAAATATCATAATTAAACTTAAATTTTGTAAAATTTTATTTAAAAGTGAGTAAATTTTATATTTATATTATCCAAAGTATTTAACTTAAGTGTATAAATCAAAATACTTAGTTATAGTGTATTAGATACCCTAAATACTAGTTATAATAGAGGTTCAAGCAGTTATAGGTGAGGGTATTGGAAATATAGTGTACAAAACTGTCAGATACATTTTATCAATTTCATATTAAAAAGTTACTGTAATTGTTGAGGTCAATCATCACATAATGGATAATTATAAAAAAGAAATGAAGGAGCATTTTTTGTTTAGGCCTTTAGGGGTTAGTGTGGTAAGTTCCAATATCCAGTAAGTCTCTCTTTGTAGGAGGATTTTCCACCTGTTGCCCCCCCCTGGCTGCTACGGGAATATGGTCGATTGCCACGCACCTTAAGGTGGAAAGTTGATGATGCTTTTCTAGAAAATGTCTGGCCACAGGTTTATCCGACTCGCCATCACGTTGCTTGACCTGTGGCCTCTAATTCTCTCACAAAGAGCTTGCCTATATAACTCAGTCCACAAGGACATATGAGTTTATATATGACAAACTCTGTGTGACAATGAATTCTGTGGGCAATCTTGTAGACCTTACCCGTATGAGGATGAGAGAAGGTCTTAGAAGGGATTAAGTGACCACACGTCACACATCCTAAGCATCTGAGGCAACCATTATTTTTCTTCTCACTTGTAGAGGGATTATAACAGTGAATGGGATTGGTTTTTAACAATAGGTCCCTTAGATTTCTATTCCTCTAATAGAAAAACATTGGCTTAGTTGTTAACTCTTTTGGGAGAGTCCTTACTTGCGAATGTAGTTTCATTGGGAATCCAATTTTCGTTTTCAATTCCTTCTGGGATGCTGTCTCCTTATTCATGTACCGTTCTTTCGCTTTAAGTAAGGCATTTTCCAAAATCTGTCGATTTTTATCCTCTCTTTTTAAATTTTGAATAAATCATTTTTAATTGCTCCTCACATTGTTCCTCTTGGGAGTAACTCCGATATACCCTCAAAAATTGTGAAAGTGGTAATGACTTTTTTAGATGTTGCGGGTGAAAACTATTAAAGTGGAGGATAGTATTGCGATCAGTAGGTTTAGTGTAGAGTCTGTACTGTAGTTTTTGGTTTATTACCGACAGTTCAATATCAAGGAATTGAATATTTTTAGAATCAATCTATGAGGTTACTTTGATTGGTGTTGACAAATTATTGATGTATTCAATTAGTGCCACTGCTTCTTCGTGTGTTCCTTTCCAAAGGATCAGGATGTCATCTATAAATCTGTAGTACCGTACAATTTGTTCCTGGTAGCGTGTTAATATATATTGTTCAAAATCAAACATGAAAGTATTAGCGTACATGGGGGCTATAGCTGCCCCCATTGAAGTACCCGAGATCTGCAGGAACCATTTTGTCTCAAAGCGATAGTAGTTGTTCCTCAAAGCCAATGATAGTAGTTCCATGGTATACTCAATCGGAGGTCCATGGTAGTGTACAGAGGTAGAAAGTAGTTTCTTCATGGCCTCTATGCCCTCCTCATGTGGAATTACAGTGTATAAACTGTTTACATCCATCGTTATATGTAGCCCCTTGAATTTTTTGATTTGCCCAAGATCATGTAAGAGGCTATTTGTGTTCTTAATACACGTTGGTATAGCAGTGACTGGCTGTTTAAACAGATAATCTAGGTATTTAGCTATTGGTTCCAAGATACTTTCTATAGTGGACACAATTGGTCTGCCAGGGGGAACAGTTGGGTTTTTATGAATTTTCGGCAATGTGTAAAGGATTGGTGTCCGTGGATGTTTTCTTGTTAGATATTCAAAGAGATCTGTATTGATGTAACCAGCTCTAAGTCCAAACATTAGCACCTCTTCAATTTTCTGAGCAATATTATTAGCCGGGTCCCCCTCCAAGGGTTGATAAGTTTCTCGTGCGCCCAATTGTTTTTGAAGATTTCATCAGCATAATCAGTATAGTTTAAGATCACTATATCCCCGCCTTTGTCTGCGGGTGGATTACGATTGTTGTATCTGATGCTAGTTGGCATACTAATGTATGTTGTTCCTTTGTGAAATTCCAATATTGGGGCCTATGTCTCCCTAGGATACTTTGTTTCATTTTTAACAGTAGATAGGAATGTTCTAATCGTGGGCTGGTTTGCTGGAGGGTCAAATTGGCTACGTCTTTTAAAAACTTGTTTGTTGGACACAATACCTTGGTCTCCTGTAGATCTCTGGGTTTTGGTAAAAAAATAAATCTTTCAGTTTTTGTGTACGACCAAATTTATATAATTCTTCGTTCCACTGAAAATAATTAGGAGCTCTTGTAGGTATGAATGACAATCCTTTACTCAGAATATCCAATTATTTATGATCAAGTGGTCTGTTGGACAAATTGAAAACAGGGATTACTTCCGTGTTGGTGGTTTCCCTCTGAGTCCAATGGGTCCGTCCTTTTTGTCCCCGTCTTGTCGTTGATCTCTTTTGCCTTTGTTTTTGCTTCTTGTGGAGGTCCTCTGGGGTAATATATCCTCCTGTTGTTCCCCTGTTCCTAAAAAATAAACTGATTGGGATGGACGGGAACCTTCATTTTCCGATGCAGATTCACCTGAGGTGACATCAATTGTGGTTACGTTGGGTTTAATTATCTTCTTTTTGAATCTTCTTGGGCGGGCACGATGTTCTCCTGACAACCGTCTATATACGTAATGGTCAGTATAGTCTTGTTGAACACGTTCCATTTTTAGTCATTTGAACTTTATTGGCTGATTTTTGTACTTCAGTAGTTCTTCACTGAGTTTGAGTTGCATACTAATCCCTTCTTGTGAATTAAGAAGTATTGCTTGTTCATTCTCGAATGATTTAATCTTCTTTCGGATTTCTATTAAATCTTCTTTCACATCCTGTATTGTAATTAACATCAAATCAAGTGAGCACTTGTTTAGTACCGATGTCCAATCCTTACAAACTTTTGATTTGGTTCTGCCAATGGTTGGTATATTAAAGTGTAAAATAAAGGGATGATGGTCCCATGGCACAGAATAAGTCAGAGGGTAAGCTATGCGATATACTGGCTCTATATATTATGTTATAATTTCCCTGCATGTTATGAGTAGATATGGGCGACATCAGCATGGGATGAGGCTTATCTAAAATATGGTAATTAGACATCCAAAATGAATCAGGGCGTGCTGGTTTCAATCTGTAATGCAAGCTATATATATATATATATATATATATATATATATATATATACCACTGGTGTCTGGTCCCATAACTTTATTTTATGTTATTTAAGTGAACACACAGGGAGTTAGAGTATATCCACTTATGGTTTACTAGTCATATTCAGTATTTAAACTCCTGCTTAGGTCAACCTCTTTTTATAGTGAGGTAACAATGCAGGTTAAAAACTACTAGGTAGTCATGGTGCATTTGCTAGTTGTAAGGTGTTTATAGGCAATTCAGGCATCACTCTAACTGTGCCTAAACAGTGTGCTATAATACAAACTGTGAACAAACAAGTAAAGCGGAGTGAACACACATAGCAAGCTTGTGGCAGCTATCTAAGTAGGGGTTCAACTGTGCCATTGGTATGTTCATCTTGCGGCAAAACAGGTTAAGTGTTCGAAGTAAAGTAATGTGATGCTGCACACAGTTAGATGATTAAACATTCACACAGGCTAAGCTTAACTGTATAATACTATAGTGGTGGGTTACTCAAACTGCTCTTATCCTAAAACAAGTATGGGGGATGAAACAGGTGAAGTGTCTAGCGATGGAGTCCGATTAAACCCACTGTTTAACACCATAGGTGTCTAGGAAGCAATGTCCCGTGTGGGTAGCTAGTGTAGTTTGCTAAACATGTTGAGATACATGCTGGGTTACCCACCAACCCTCCAGAGCCAGTCTCGTACACTCTATCCAAGAAGGCAGCATAGTTAACGTGGCTGCTCGGTGGGAGCTCAATTAAGTGTATCCGCATGGACAGTTCAAGTTGTGTTCCAAAGAGTTCTCGGCTATGGGCGGTATGAAGTGGGGCTGCGGGCCAGTTGGATCATCCTTCAGCCGATACCCCTGCTGGGGGTTGGTACCTTGAGTTGGTCGAGTTAGCAAGAGGTCGGTGAGCTGCTGGAATGAGGAGGGAGCTCTCCAGCCCCAGGCCGGTATGAAGGCCAGCACCTGCGCACCACAGACTCGGTTTCTGGTAGATGAGGCTGGGTCTACCCTCTGTTGGGCGCCATGGAGAGCTTGGGTGTTCTGCCATTGGGCTTCCTGTGATGTGGTCTGTGCCGTGGAGGTTTTCTCCGGGGGACCTTCGGCCCAGGAAGGCTTGTGGGGCAGTCCGTGACAGCAGCTCCTTGGGGTTTACCCACAGGAGGTCTCTCCCGGCTACTCACCTCGTCCCTCCTCACTGTTTTCACCGGGTCAGGCTGCTCTTGTCTGCAGCGTAGTTCCAAGCGCTCCCAGAACTTTTGAAAGATCCTGTCTAGTCGCCTGGCATACTGCTCCTCTAGATGGGTACACTGGCTGCCTTGATGGATCGATGCGGGCTTCTGCCACTGAGCCGCGGGTGCCATCTTGTGTGGCCCACTGGCCGTGATGTTCAGGCTGCAAGGTATAGCTGGGGCCTGTGGTGCCTTGTGCCCTGGGTTGGTGGGGACCAGGATGACCCCAGCCGGTCCAAACTGGGGGGGGGGAGACCCATGCCGTGACTGTAGCTTGGTGTGGTCCCAGGAGAGCAGCCGTCTCTCCCGTGGCCCCTCAGTTTGTCTCGCTGCGTATGAGGCCGCACTGCCAGGCCCCGCTTTCTGTGGTCGGAGCGTCAAGATTCAAGTACCGTTGAGTGCTGCTTCGGGTGCAGGTTAGCCCCTTCGGTCTGGTTTGCCATTTCTGGCTTGGTATGTCGTCGTAGGCTTAAATTGTGCCCGCTGCCGCCGGAGTGTTTAGCATGTGCGTCCAGCCATCTTGGCGGTCAGGCCCCTCCCCCCCAATGGTACGTATATTGTGGACCCGAAAGCCCCTAGGTATTTGTTTGGCTCTGTGATAGTCGGACAGAAAAATTCCGTGTAGGTCCAAGTCTACTTCTTTCTTTTTAAGTTTCAAAAGCTTGAAATATGTTGCGTACAGTGGTTGTGGTAGGTAGAGTTAGACTGGTGGAATCCCATAATATTTCCTCAGCTTGCTCGTTAGAGAATTGGAGGATATTAGCCTGTGTTGCATATGCTCCAGATTCTTGTAAAAAATTATCCATATTATCAAAAAGGATATATCTTTAAGAAGATCTTTTACAAAAAAAATCATGCCAAAAAATGGATTGTATTCTTATTCTCCCAATTTAGTATGTATAAAAAGTTATCCACTTTCAATGGTTAAAACTATATTATTTATTGATATACATTAAAAAACAAGTAAAAAAAATGGTAAATGGTAAATAAAAAGCAATACAAAAATTGTACTAGCAATGTACCAATGTTTGTTCCATACCCTTTCATTCAAGAGGATATAAATGATAAGGCAAGTGGGTGCATAGAGAACGTTCCTTGGAAGGAGCATATATACAGAAAAAAATGGGCCTCTTACACTCCTACTCAAAATATTAAATACCTGGTGACAAGTGACAATAGTATAAAAATATCAAGATTACCGGCACTCTTTGGTTTTGTTCGTTTAATTTATTGTTGGTACATCCAAAATAGTCAACTTCATTGCCCCTAATGCCCGTCGTGCACTCAGCACTTCTGCGCATGTCTACATTGGACCACTCCCCTGTCATAAAACGGCTATGGCCAGTCATCATACCTGGAAGTGTCACAGAACCATGGCAACCGCTGATACACTCAGCTTCGGTCGCTGCTGCGTAAACTCATAGATATACTTGTATCTTTATAATTGTTTTTTTATTTAGGTTCACTGATATACCAGCCTAGATAGTTTTTGCATATGATACTGTGTAGATAAAATTGATACTTGAATCTATTTGTAACAATTTCGGTTTTCTATTTAGATGTTCTCATTCATATCCCCTTAGGCATGGAAGGAAACAGTTGTCATAGTAACGTGGACTAACCCCACGCCATGGACTGGGCGGGTTGCTCATTTAGCAGGGAGATATTCTCCTCACGGATGTTGTTTACGCAGCAGCAACCGAAGCAGAGTGTATCAGCGGTTGCCATGGTTCTGTGACACTTCCGGGTATGATGACTGGCCATAGCCGTTCTATGACGGGGGAGTGGTCCAATGTAGACATGCGCAGAAGCGCTGAGTGCACGCCGGGCATTGGGGGCGATGAAGTACAGCTGTTTTGGTTAGTGTTGGTAGATATGTCCTATATGTTTTACTTCAATGTAAATTACTTTGTGTCCTGATGAAAGCTCCGATCGGGAGCTGAAACGTTGACTATTTTGGATGTACCAACAATAAATTGAACGAACAAAACCGAAGAGTGCCGGTAATCTTTTGAGATAGATATAGATATATATTATTTATTTTATTATTATTACCTTGCATATTTTGCAGGGCTGGTAATAGAGAACATGAAGGATAGATTTCTTTTTCAGAAGTTTGCAGTATAGTCATAGCTTCATGGAAGCAGAAACAATGGTCCCCATCTTATTATGGATGGATAGATAAAAGCTAAACGTACATATAACTTTTGCCATCATTGCCTACTATTTCCAAAAGGAGAAAATGGGTAGTGTACCGTGAATGGTTCAAGTTGGTCAACCAGAGTGCTTTGCAGTCACATGATTTCTCCACTAAACCAGGAAATGTAGGAGAAATTGACAAGAGAGTTAAATATTTTCAGTTAAGTGCATGAGCTGTAAAAGTTACCAACTCTGTAGTTAAAGTCAGTTAAAGCACAGAAACATGAATGTGATCACACTCCTATATACTTATGATCCTCTGGAATGAATTTAGTGTCAGATCTTCTCTTAACTCCAGGAATACATTAACACAAAATGGCAAAAATACAGAAAATTGTGTAGATCCAGAAAAATTAAAGAGGCTATATATAGGAGCAGGTCTGGCTGCAAAGAGAGACTGACAAGGCAGATCATACACTGAGCTCTGCTGAAGCACTATGTGCATGATCCTAGGGCAGGGGTAGGCAACCTATGGCACTAGTGCCATACATGGCACTCGAGGTGTCTTTGCACGGCACCCAAGGCTACAGGGCTGGTCAGGAGTCCCAGTGAAACTTCATATATCTGCTAATACAAAAAAGGTGGTGAAGGACAATCCTCCATTTACGCATTGCAGCATGTAGAGGAAGTGATCTATGATCACTTCCTCCCAGCACTTGTGAATGGGAATCCACACTGGAGTAGAGCAGCCCACAGCTTCCTGTTGCAGCTTCTGTCCTTGAGCTGTACCTGGCCAGCCTGGTCCCCAGTAAAACCCAGGGAAGCCTCCCACACTGCTAGAAACACACAGAGCTGCAGAATAACCCTCCCCTCATACAAACAGCTCACACACACACACACACACACACACACACACAGTCCGCACAAACACAACACCACCAACAATCCACATACATAGACACAACCCCACATGCAGCCTCTCACATGCAATACCCCAATCAGCCCCACACATACACACACACACACACTACCAAACACACAATGTGACATAACTATCCACACACATAATGTGTGACATAATTCCACAATCAGCCCCCATACACGGCCCAAATTCATAGGTATTATACATGATGCCACAAACTGTTTATGAACATATACAATATAATAGCTCATATACGCACAAATACAATGATACAAAGCAACTGCAGGATAAATAACACAAGCAGAATATGGCAACATGCACACCAAAATTTAAAGAAATAGGACTGACACGATACGGGACATCACAATCATATTTCAGCACAGTGCTGCTAAAAGGTTGCCTACCCCTGTCCTAGGGCCTATTCCCTACTGGATCCCTGGGACTTAAAACAAAATAAAATAAACTGTGCTGGGACCGTATTTAAATATACAGAACCTTCCCAGCAAGTTGGGCAGTTAGTTTGGGGTCATCTAGAGGGGAAAAACAGGCGGTCAGTGAGCTCTGTAGATGTTGGTCAATTCCAGTATGTACTGCTGCCCCAAGGAGTCCATAACTATTTCTCAGCTTTGCAAAAAAGAGAGAGTTTTATATAAAACCTGTAATATCCTTATAGCATAGAATAGATAATTGTACACCTATTTGATTTTCTAGCATGTTTGAAAATATTGTTGAACAAAGCATGCATAGTTTTCCTTCATAGTGTAGGGGCATTTCCAAAGTAACTCTGTGAATGTCTAACCAGCTTATTTGCTTTGAATATTTATAGAATGGGCAACTTAATCTAATCTGAACAATAAGGTAAGGATGGCTTGCACTGACTGCATGCTTACTGACAGCTCTAACAAAACAATGGCAGGGTTATTCACTAAGGTGAGTACATTTAAATTTGAGGCCAAGATAGCTGAGCTGGAAACATTCTTAGTCCACTTGGCTTCCAATTTAGCTAAGTTTGGACTCAAATTTGTAATTCACAAAATACTTAATATTAATTCAAAATGAATAGCCCTAGTCTATGTAACTCCCTGGTTTTCATAATATGTAGGTGCTTGCTGTTCCTTTGAAAGACCTTTTATACCTTTCATCACGTTACCCTTTGTAAACTATTGTAATGTTTGTATAGTCGCTGCATCAGGCAAACTACACAGAAATGTTTCCACAGAAATAACACAAATATATTTTACTTCGCTCCATAAGTTCACAGTACTAGGAAATGAACTATAAGATACTATCGCTCTGGTATAGGACGCCGGCCGCTCTTCATCGGATCTTCCCTACTGTGCCGCCTACCTGCTGGAGATGTCAGGCCGACAGAGGCACGATGTGGCATATATGTTGGGAATGCCCGGTTATAGTTCCCTTTTGGGACGTGGTGAGGAACGAGGTGACTGATATCCTTGGGGATTCGGTTGAGTGGTTGGGGGAACTGGCCTTGCTACACTTGTCTTCCAAATCAATTTTACGCCATTTGCTTAATCCGGCTAAGGCCCTTATTCCTGTTTTCTGGACTAAAACCTGAGATTCCCACTAAGGAGGCCTGGTTACGAAGGGTGGAGGATATACAGGCAGCTTAGGAAACGCATGCCTCTCTGCTCGGTACGGGTTCCAGACATGCTGAGGCTTGGCAGCCGTGGTTTATCTGTGGCGCGTGATTTATAATGCTTGTATTAGTGGGAGACGTGGGGGTCACATGAGGGCGCCCGCCCACCCGGACACAGGAATCCTCTTCTCCTTTCTTCTTACATTATCTCTATTTACGTTGCTCTCTTTCTCCAATCTTATTCTCATGACCAATGCAGGGAAGGATTGACACTCCCTCCTAATATTTATATCAGCCTAACTAGCATGGTAAAGGTGAACTCTGGCAGACGCTACTGCTGGGGCGTTCTTGGCGCATCATGCTTTACAATGTAAACTGTACAACGTAGAATTCCATACAAAACTCATAAAAACGCTTGGAGATGGGAGTAACATGATAGTTACTGCAGTCTTCTTGTTCCTAAACTCTTGGTAGGAAAGCGTAACTGGATTGACTAGAAAATCAAATGTGTAACGTAATAATTGTTTCATAATTTTTATAAAAAGTTTTGACTGTTGCTTTGAGGCGATGCATGCGCGGTTTCATATTTTAGTGCAAATTTCAGATATTGAATGATGATGACAGGGGGCTTGAAGGGGATTCTCTTTGCTCCTTTTCTCTTCGTCTACTTATCTCTTGTATATCTTTCTTCGCTGTCCTCTCTCGCAGGCCTCACTACTATGATAATTGATGGGAAGGACTGAACTTCACAAACCGCACAGGATACATTATAGTACCAAAGGCAGATGCAGACAAAAGTTACTACTGGGGAATGCTCTGCATCTCATGTTACCATTATATTTTGCCTCTGGAAAAACAGCCCGCAGTTATGGAACGCCTGACAAGATGTGTATTTGTGTATTATCTGCATATATGTATAGAGTGAGGCCAGCGTGCCTACAGTTCTTCCTTCTTCATATCTTCCTTCTTCTTCCTTCTTCATAACTCAGTAAAAAGATTTCAACAACAAATATATATTTGATTTATTTGAGGTTAGACTGATAGAAATATTATAGGCAAATGTATAAAATTAAGAAATAGAAAATGTAATTAGGGAAGTGGAAACGATAGAATGAAGAAAGAAAAATTTAACATAACAATGGAAGAGAATACTCGGGGGATGTCTGTGAAGTATTAGATACATAATTCTATATACCTTGAATGCCAAGATATTTGCATGGCTAGATATGTTTTATTTTATTGCAAAAGTTTCTTGGGAATTGCAGTTAAATAGTTTATAGTTGCTCATTCTTAAAGCCCCTTTCTTTATTTGTATTCTCAGTGTCAGTCATTTTCGGTATTCCCACAGTGAAGAGGGACAAACAGAGCTACTTGATGGACACATTGGGTTCCCTTTTCTCAGAATTGTCTGCAGAAGAAAAAGAGGACTGTGTGGTGGTGGTATTTATAGCCGAGGTAAGCAATGAAATATTTGACCACAGCTTATTATGGGATTGGCGTTCCATACTCCTCAATACTCAGGGAAGGTTGACCATGCCCAGTCCAACCAACTGGCCCAATTATGTTTAGTAGGGTCCTTGTCACCTGACGTTAACTGTTTAGAATGCACACTGCCTTCATGACAAGAACATATACATTGCAAAGGGGCATGTAATTATGAAATGTTTGTTTTTCTTGGGCATGCTTACTAAATTATATGTGCAAATTATTGTAATTATTCTGTATGAGATTTTTGCCTAATATATTCCACAAAGTTATTGTTGATGCAGGGACTACTTTCTAATTTGTTTATTCTTTCTCACGGCGTGGGGGAGATGAATTATTTTAATACACTTTATGTGATAAGATCTTCTCCTTTAAAAATGTATACATGGTTTTTCACCACCATATACAGACTACTGACTTTGAGCAATTTGTAATTGGTTTAGTTTGAATTACTTTAAGGAAACTATCAAAACTTCACTTGTTTGTCCATTATTGGATTTGTGTTCTAATATTCTGTCTTATAACTGTATAATAAATTTAAAAAAAATCTGAAAATATATATTATTTTTACGTTGATTTAATTTTCACACACATATACATATATATATATATGTATATGTGTGTGTGTGTGTGTGTGTATATAATGTGTGTGTATATATATGTTTATTTTTATTTTTTTTCCTAAAAATCTCTATTCCTGTCACATAAGTTGTGTCTACTTTAATTTAGGATCTGTTATTGGGGTGTGGGCATTCCAGAGAATGGTTTGTCTGGTTTTCTCAAGTAATTTCTATAGACATTATATTTCAAAACTATATTGGTTTTAAATGTGTATTTAAAACCGTATCTCCTCCTCGTGAATAAATACTGATGTTTGTACTGGATGATTTGCATCACTGCACCTGTCTTTTAAGAAATCTGTGTGTACTTAAAGTTCTTACACAGTGCATAGCTGACATTATTATTTTTTTCCAATGAGAGCTAAATTGACAGTCCAACTTGGGGACCTTGCAACTGATTGAACCCACATATGCCATACATGGTGTGCATGGGAATGCTTAAGGGCATAAATAAACTTCTCATTCTAAATTATAATAAACATTGTCTCATTGTTGGAAGATGAGAAATACATTAACACTCATCTTCCAACAAGTAGACTGGATAATGCATGTCTAGATTTCACTGCTCTCATAAAAATTAATTTTAGAGTGAATCTTTAAGGTCCAACAGCAAAACTATTGATATTCCCTTTTTAGTTATGAAAATAAATGGTGTGGATCTTTGTGTTCTAATTTATTCTGAACACCGGAAGCCAAGCTTAAATCAGTTGGATTTCATGGGGTCGGTGTTCTAGAAACTGAAATGGGCACAGTGGATGGCTTTAAAAGTTTTAGAACATCCTTTGCTTTGATTCTGGAATACTATTTCTTAACTTATTTATCAACAAAGCATAGATGAGCACCAAATAAACAGTTATTATTATAATTATTATTAATTATCAAATTATCAAATTCCGCAGCGCTTTACAATGGGTGGACAAACAGACATGTAGTTGTAACCAGACAAGTTGGACACACAGGAACAGAGGGGTTGAGGGCCCTGCTCAATGAGCTTACATGCTAGAGGGAGTGGGGTAAAATGACACAAAATGGTAAGGATAGTATTAGACTAGTGACAGTTGCAGAAGAGGAATCAGTCAGGAGCTATTAACAGTTTAATTGATATGCTTTTATGAAGAAGTGGGTTTTTAACGATTTTTTTTTAAGGAGTGGAGACCGGGTGAGCATCTAACGGAGGAGGGAAGCGAGTTCCACAGGAACGGTGCAGCCCTTGAGAAATCTTAAAGGCGAGCATCAGAGGTGGGGGTACGGACAGAAGATAGAAGTAAGTCTTCAGCAGATCGTAAGGGCCTAGACGGGACATAGTGTATAAGGGAGGATAGATAGGTGGGAGCAGCATTATGTAGAGATTTGAAAACAAGAACCAGAATTTTAAATTGAGCTCTATATTTTATAGGAAGCCAATGTAGGGACTGACAGAAGGGTGAGGCATGGGAGGTGTGGGCGGACAGGAAGATGAGCCTCGCCGCCGCCTTCATTATGGACTGTAACGGCGCAGGTTGGGAGCACGTAAGACCACTGAGAAGCGGATTACAGTAGTCAAGGCGAGAAAGGACAGTGGAATGGACCAACACCTTAGTCGCATCTGGCGTTAAGTAGGGGCGGATGCGCGCAATGTTTTTGAGATGGAAATGACAGGATTTGGCGATAGATTGAACATGAGGCTTGAAGGAGAGGTCGCAGTCAAAGAGAACACCTAGGCAGTGAGCCTGCGTGGTGGAGCTGATGGTAGCACCGTTGACTTGGAGGGAGACAGACACAGGAGTAACAACACTTGAGGGAGAAAAGACCAGAATTTCAGTTTTGGTCAAGTTTAGTTTAAGGAAGTGGACAGCCATCCAGTTAGAAACAGCAGAGAGGCAGTCGGAGACACTAGTCAAGAGGGACGGGGAGAGATCAGGAGAGGACAGGTAGATTTGCGTGTCATCTACATAGAAATTAGATTGGAAGCCAAATGAGCTAATGAGTTTACCGAAACACGGAAAGAGCGCTGGGAGTGAACTGTAGTTCACAAATGAACTCTCTCAAGGGCCTTTCTCATATACAGGGATATTTACATTGTTGTTGAATATGTGAGGTCATGGGGATCCAGATTCTGTTGGGACTTTTGTACTCCTTCCCATGAAGCTTGACTTATTAGAACAATAATGGTAATTAATGTAAAAATGTTGAAACAGAGCTTGCTAATATGTAAATAATTCCTGTTGTTGAATCTTACATCATCTTTTGTGCTTGTTTTCACTCATTGTTTGGTTTCTCAAACCATTTTGCACGTACAGCATCTCATGAAAAATGTACTTTTATTGCAGATTAATTTACAGTATGTGGAAGATCTTGCTTATCGCATAAAAGAAAGGTACACATTGTATTTTATCTGACTTTTTTTGTGTAATCAAAATAAGTTTTACAATTTGCCAACATCACAGTCTGCTCCTACACATGCTCTACCAGCATGGAAACTTCTAAATTATTGTCACCTGGGATGCATTGAACTGCAACAGTAGTAATTCCTACCAAAACCTTAGGTTCAATAATTTGGTTGGGTACTTCTTAAGATGGAAAGGCTATAATTAATTAAAGGCTAGCTGTTGATGTGTTTTAATGATGGTCTTAGAGTGGCATGGAGGTTACTTGGCAATCCTCAATCAATCTTATGTAAACTTGGAATGCAATGGGAAATTGGTAGTTGGCTTTTCCAATGAGACTCGCCTTCAAAAGTAAATCTGAACAAAACCCAAAACAAGCAAACTACAAGTGACTCAAGGCACATTTTTGTGAAGGTTGGCTACTTGGCACAATGATTTGTCACAGAAGGTAAAATAACCCATAGCTGCTGTCCATAGGGTTTCTATTAGGGTTTGATCTTGAAGGGTAAAAAAGGGAGGCTAATAAAAGATGATATAAAGGATATAATAAATAGTCCGGTTCAGAATTTGGTGATCTCGGTTAGAGATCCCATATTTTAAATTAATGTCTATTGTTTTCTCTGGTTCATAAAAAGTGTTTGTTCTTTCAACTGAGCATCTGACATTCTTTTTATTTTGATAATTATATATTTTATGCAGTTATAGTAGAAAAGGATGATACACAACTTTGCTCCACAATCTGATGCATTTGAAAGATAAGCCAGGTGGATGGATGTTTTTTTTTTTTTTTAAAAATGTTTATTTTTATTCTGCTTTAAGTGACATAACATACAAGCTCTTGGTGCCCCAATAGCATTCCTCGAGCACATTTTCAAGCGAAACAGTTGGAACATTAGGATTTTCAGCACATTTTTTAAACGTTAGAGTAATATTGATTAGATCAGGTTATTGGTAAATGTAGGTCACAATAGCAAGAGTTGTGGGTACAAGAGGTTAATATACATGACTGACCTAGGTTAGTAACATGCAAAGTACTTTGCCAGTGTATCTGTCTTATGAGGCAAGTGCTTATTAGTATATGCATGATAGGCAGGCTCAACTGTGGGTCTAGGCATATAATCTAAGTCTACCATAAGTGTAAGAAGAGATGAGATGCTTAGGGTTGCAGTATGGCTGGCTAAGCGTGTAAAACATATAAAAGTAAAACAAATAAAGGTTACTGGCAGATTGCACAGCGCGTAAGTCAATAGAGGGGGAGATCGATAGATGAATGGTTATTTATAAATTGGTCAACTTAGGCCTCATTAATATAAATGTGTTTATGTAAATATTTGTTTTTATGCAGAAAAACAGTACATGCAAACATGTAGAAACTGTTGTTATATGTGCTTTAATGGGGAAAACAAATTTAAAATGCTAACACGGCCAGACAATGGACAACTTGTTCAGGAGTAACTCTCACATTGCTGGCCATTTCTCCAGATACCTTAGCAAAAATGTTTAGGGGTATTCACCAAAGTAAGTTTCAAATGATGAAGCCAACAAAACTAAATTGTAAAAGCTCTGTTTTCTGTGTTGGACTAAAGTCTGAAATTCACTTTGAAACTCTTGACAATTCTCACTCTAGTGAAGCCCATTTCAGGTTTAAATTGTACTGGAAATGAGTCCTTTTAAACAGTTCATTTGTTTTTTTTTTGTTTTTGTTTTTCTGCGCTTATGTCTGTTCATCCTGGAAATATAAATATTACATTTTCTACTTACAGTTTTCCTCGTGAAATACAGTCTGGTGTCCTTGAGGTCATTTCTCCGCCAGCATCTTATTACCCAGATTTAAACAATATTAAGGAAACCTTTGGTGACTCCAAAGAGAGAGTGAGGTACTGTATAGCAGTCTGAAACACTACACCATGGTCGCTATAGCTGCAGAGTGCTACTTTATTAACTGTCGCTCTATTACATGAATTGATAGAATGATCATGGCAATTAAAATAATCCAATTAGAAGATGTCCCCCTCTTTTCTACCACTTGTGCTTTCAGTGTGCTGGGCACGCTTACTCCTGCCAGCAGGGAGCCAAAAGCCTAAAATAATGTAATCCACTTATTGACTGGCTGTGTATCTGGGTCCTTGTTTTAGATCTCTTGTATCCTATATTACCACAGTCTTAAAGGACCACTCTAGGCACCCAGACCACTTCAGCTTAATGAAGTGGTCTGGGTGCCAGGTCCTTCTAGGGTTAACCCATTTCTTCATAATTATAGCAGTTTCAGAGAAATTGCTATAATTATGAATGGGTTAAGCCTTCCCCCTAATCCTCTAGTGGCTGTCTCATTGACAGCCACTAGAGGCGCTTGCGTGCTTCTCACTGTGATTTTCACAGTGAGAGCACGCCAGCGTCCATAGGAAAGCATTGTAAATGCTTTCCTATGCGACGAGCTGAATGCGCGCGCAGCTCTTGCCGCGCGTGCGCATTCAGCCGGCGGGGAGGATCGGAGGAGGAGAGCTCTCCGCCCAGCGCTGGAAAGGTAAGTTATTACCCCTTTCCCCTTTCCAGAGCTGGGCGGGAGGGGGTCCCTGAGGGTGGGGGCACCCTCAGGGCACTATAGTGCCAGGAAAACGAGTATGTTTTCCTGGCACTATAGTGGTCCTTTAAAGATTTCTGTAAACATTAGATTTGACAAGAAAGCACTGTACCTTGTTTTTTTTTTTATTATTATTAAAGGGACACTAAAGTCACATAACTCCTACAGCTTAATGTTGTTCTTGTGTCTATCCCCTTTCACATCAGGCTTTTTTGTTGTAAATACTGACTTTTCAAGAAAAAAAGGCAGTATTTACATTGTTCTGTAACAATGCTGGATCTTAAAATAAAGTGGCACTGTCATGCCCGAATCCTTTTTTTTTTTTTTTTTAACAACTTCCTCCCGACTTCACTACATCTAATTGTCCCCCCTAGTTTAAGACGAACAAACACACGCCGAATATCGGTGTTTGTTTGTTCGTTCAGTTTACAAGAAGGAGGGAGCCACCGCCTCACAGCTCCCTCCTTGTAATATGTAAAAATAGAAGCTATGGGGAGCTGTGCTCCCTGCCGCTTCCTAAGCCCCCATGTCCTCCCTCACTCTGTGTGTAAGGGAGATTGAAATCTGCCAAATGCCCCTACTCGCTGTGCTGTGAGTATGGGGTATGGCTGCCCTAACCCCCTTCCTTGCAACAAATAGATGCCGGGAGTCCTGTCTAGATGACAGGATGTTAGGGAATACTGAAAGGATGAATCGCGAGATCACGGAGGAAAGGGTGTGTAATGTGGGAAAATTTGGCTCAGAGTGGGTCAAGCGTAAGAAAAATACATAAGACAAAATAGTCCCTATGTTGTCTTATGTCTTAAAGAAAACTAGATTAGATAATAAGAAACAGAGAACAGATCCTGAGAGAGGGAGAGAAGAGGAAGCGATTGGGGAAAGGTAAGTTTGCATGACCGTGACGCTTTAAAGAACACTTTAGTGTTAGGAATGCAAAACTGTATTCCTAACACTATAGTGTCCCTCTGCCCTGCACACACCTGCCCCCACATCAGTGAAATGGTTAAACTTTGTTTTTCTTTCTTTCTGTTTTGACAAAATAAACGTCAATAAAACCCCTACACTTGGGTATAAGGAGGACTCTCAAAACTGCATTGTACAATAATTCTCTATATAAACCATCACTTCTCCTTTTGATAGTCTCCATCTTGCAGTACAAAACATCACTGTAAAATGTTTCCTCAGTCTGAAGGATGCTGACTCAGGCGATGTCTGCCACTCTACTTACTAGAGGTGTACAAGATTGACGCACACTCAATTTATTTCACCCATGTTCTGTGCTTTGCCATACTTATTGGGAGATGGACAGATCTCCTAAACCAGAATCTTTTGTATTGCAACATCACTCTTTTGTCTTGCAGTCACCAGTAAAGATCAAAGGGAGTGGCAAACCTTTTACAGAGCGGGTTATTGTACAGTGCTGTTATGTAAAGCTTAGCGGTAGGACTCGCCATACCTACGTGTATAGGTTGTTATTGTAGCAGTCTTTTTTCCCCCCCAGATAAAATAAGTGTTATACTATGCACTTTTTATTTCCATATTTTCCGCTGTTCTTGTTTGCCTGTGAGAACCTAGTTCTTACACATGCTGTATTTCAGGCTGCGGTGAACATTATTCTTCTTATTGCTGGTCCTGATTTATCTCTGTGTAAAGATATTTTCCTTGTGTATTTTGCAGAAATACCTAATAGTGTTTTGTTTCTGTACAGGTGGCGAACCAAGCAAAATTTGGACTACAGCTTTCTTATGTTGTATGCTCAGCCCAAAGGTGTATATTATTTACAGGTAATTGTTGATCATATTCCGTTTACTTTAGCATGCAGTTATTGTTAAGCTGAAGTATACTTATTAAAGGTACATGCATCTCTTTGAAGGGTGAGGCTCTAAGGAAATCCCTGGCTCTGCAAATGGTAAACAGACGCACTGTAGTGGTGAGAAATATTTTTAGGTGGTGCAGGATGACTGCTACTTACCACTAGTTTCATGGATATAAATGCTTCCGCACACTTAAATTTTGCACTGCTCTGAAGGACTGGTAATTGAATACTAAACTAAGTGCTTCCAGAGGAGATTTGATTTGCCATGTACACTCAGTAATTGCTTTGACTAATATCAGCCAGTGTAAAGACCCAAACCCTAGTCAAAAATAGTAACTAACATTCTTAAAGACCTAGGTATGAGGAACATTGGCTATTATTATTCAGCAACCAACTTCATTTTATTTATAACTAAATATTCATTTTGGAAAATTGTGAGTTAAGCAGCTTTTATAGCAATGTATTTGTTGGTGCCCATTGCGAGAATGTATAAGCTAATCACGTGGGATTTACGAACATTGATGTTTCTCGAATTTAGAGACATTGCTGTAATTAATGGGTAAAACAATTCAGTTGAGGACAACACACTTTGTTAATTGAAGATGCCATTACAGAGTGCAAACACTCATTGAAAAAGACGGGCTCCAAATAAGTGCACTTTATATTCATTTTATGTCAACCATGAAGAAAATGGGCTATAGAAGAAGATAATGCCAGGTTCTGAAGAGACACGTGATAAAATTGCACAAGCGGGCAATACAAAAACTCACGGAGCACTGCCAGAATCCCCAACATGAGTCCAGTATTAACAAAAGAACTGGGCTACACACTTGGTAGTGTCCATAAAATACTCATTTGGGGACACCCACATAATCTTTTTTGCACAGTTTGCCCCAAGTAGCCTAATGAATACCCACACAGGCTAACCATCCAAAACCAATTAGTGGGACAGTATTCCTTTTTAGAGACATGATGAACAAAAGAGAATAAAAACATTATGCACAGGGTGATGGTATATAAAGGCACCATGGGATGCAAAATGTTAAAACATAAAAAATTTATTCACAAGTAAATAGTGGCAAAACATACATATTCTGAGGCATAACCAGGTTTGACCATAGCACATACATGGAATTAGTCAAATTCAAATTATATTACAAAACAAACTGGCTCTCAATCTAAATGCATACAATAAACAAGTGTACAAATTAAATGGAGAAAGGTATGTATGTTAGATAACCTGGAGGTAGCATCTAATATGGGCTGTGAGAAAGGAAGGTGGTTCCATATAAGAATCCTTGTGGGAAACTGTGTATAGGAAGCCTTTGTCTTTAATTGTAGTTTTATAAATATAAAACCTGTTGGCAGTCTTATTATTAAGAGCTTTGTGCGTTTATATACCTATATAATACACTGATCATCCACAACATTAAAACCACTTGACAGGTGAAGTGAATGACCTTGATTATATTGTTATAATGGTTCTTGTCAAGGGGTTGAGATCTATTCGGCATCAAGTGAACAAATGGACAAGTGAAAAGATCTGAGTGACTTTGACAAGCACCAAATAGTGATGGGTGATGGCTAGAAGACTGGGTCGGAGCATCTCCAAAACGGCAAGTCTTATGGGGTGTTCCCGGTATGCAGTGCTTAGTACCGATCAAATGAGGCGCAGGGAATGGCAATCCGCAAACCGGCATCATGAGTGCAAAAAGCTCATTGATGTAAGTGAGGATTTAAGGCTAGCACATCGTATTTGATTGTACAGAAGAGCTACTGTAGCTCAAATTGCTGAAAATGCTGGCCATGATTGAAAGGTGTCAGAACACACAGTATATTGCAGTTTGTTTTGTATGGGGCTGCGTGGCCACAGGTAGGTCAGAGTGCCCATGATGACCCCTGTCCACTGCTAAAAGCACCTTCCGTGGGGACATGAGCATTACAATTGGACAGTCGTGCAATGTAAGATGGTTGCCTGATCTGACATATTTTAATTAAGATCAGGCGTATGTGTGTCATTTACTTGGGGAAGAGATGCATATTGCAGCACTGGACTAGGAGGCACCTCTAGAGGTGTTTACAAAGGAAAGGCTGTATTTCCATTTCTGCCTATAAAGGCAGCGTTTACATTGAAAAGCCTGTAGGGACTGACTATGCCAACAAGAACTACTACATTAAGCTGTAGTGGTTATGGTGACTAAAGTGTCCCTTTAAATGATCTGCTGCTAATGTCTTCCTGCTAGATACCACAGGACACATTCAGAGGTCTTGTGGGGAGTCCATGCCTCAATGCATCTGACCTGTTTTGCAAGCACTAGGAACACCTACAGGATATTAGGCAGCTGGTTTTAAAGGACCACTCTAGGCACCCAGACCACTTCAGCTTAATGAAGTGGTCTGGGTGCCAGGTGCAGCTAGGATTAACCCATTATTTTTATATTTACAAATGGGTTAATCCTTCCTCCAATTCCTCTAGTGGCTGTCTCATTGACAGCCGCT